TCCTCGAGCTCGCCCTCTGAACCTCCTCTTGCGGCCCTGTTTGTTCACTCCTTCTGCGATGTCTGGCCCCCTCTTCCCCCCTCCTCCTCCGCCTCCTCCTCCCCCTTCCTTTTTGTGCAAGAGCCATGGCACACGTGCCACTTGTTCAGGAATCGCGCTCTCGCTTGGGACTTCCTTACAATTTATTCAGGAATCGCTCTCCCGGCGCTCTGGAGTCGCGCTCTCGCTGGAGACTTGCTTGCAACTTACTGGCGAATGGCCCTGCATTAGAATTTCATGCAATTTGCCCAAACGCCGCGCTCCCGAAACCCAGGCACCCAGGAGTCGCGCCCGCTGTGGCCCCATGTGCATGCCCTGCGTGGCCTCGCTGTCGCCATTTGTGTCCCCCTCGCTGTCCTACGTGGCCCAGTTGCTACCCTCAGTGGCCCTATAGTTGCCTTCTGTGGCCCCGCATTATCTGCACTTCGTGGCCCCCGCTCGTTCGCGCCTTTCGTGGTCCCATACGCATTCTTTTCGTGTCCCTGCTCTCGTCCTTCGTGGCCTACTTCGTGCCCTTCGTGGCCCTGCTGTCGTTCTCTCTCGCTCTCGCTTTCGCTCGTCGTCGCCGTCGTCGTCGTCGTCGTCGCCGTCGTCTTCGACGTCGTTGTTGTCGTCGTCGTCGTCGTCGTCGTCGTCGTCGTCGTCGTCGTCCTCGTCGTGGTCGGTCGACGGTCCGCGGCCGCCCCGCCGATCAAGGCTGCCGCTGGCCAGGCCGACGGTCCGCGGCCGCCCCGCCGCTTGCCCGGGCCCGGCCTGCAGGGAAGAAAAGTACCCCCCAAAAGGGGTTCAATCGAAGACGAAGAGGGCGGGTATCGAGGGTTTGGGAAATACGCGTTATTTGACATTCGAGCATATCAGAGCGAACAGTCTTAAAATGAATATTGTTGTTGTTGTTGGTGTTGTTGTTGTTGTTGTTGAACATTATTACTTCTAAAGAATAATTATTGTTGGGGCCCCTGGTGCATGGCCCCCCCGCCGCGCCTAGGCCGCAGCCTCATTTTCTTCATTTCCGTGAGGAAGTCTCAAGCAAAACGGTGTCATCCAGATCCGGTTGTGTTGTTACGATCGGTTTTCCCTTGCAAAAAATGTGCTAAAGTGGACATTTCTTGTTCTAACATATCCAAACTTCAAGAATCCCTTGCAAAAAAGGTAAAGTGGACATTTGCGCGCGCAAGACGAAATCCTTCCAAAACCTTAGTGTTCGCAGCGATTTTAACATAAAAACATCAAAAAAACAATGGTTTTTCAACAAAAAATTGTCAAAATTTCATCCCGCGCGCTCTTGCGGATTCGTAGGAAACCCAACACTTTTTAAACATTTCTGTCAAACGGGCTTTTGCGAGCAACTTTTTCGAACTTCTGCAACAACGGTTGCGCACCTGCCATGGCCATCATCCCTGTCAAATAATACCATGCGGGACACATTCGTTTTTCTTCGCGCGCGCACGCCGTCGTCGTCGGCCGCGGGGCCCTGAATAGTAGCCACGGTCGTCCGCATGCCACGAAGTGAAGTGTCCGAACGTCATAGGGCGGGAAGCTGGGTGTGGTTGGTGGCGAAGAGTCGTTTGGAAATTTGGTAGAGCTTGAACCGGCCCCCCCACAAAGTGGGGGTATTGCCCGCCTCCTATGAAAACCCTGGAACTGGTGAGAACGGAGTGTCCCCACGTGCTAGTAATTGTTGTTGTTGTTGTTGTTGTTGTTGTTGTTGTTGTTGGTTCCCCCTTGGTCCTTGTGCCGTCCCACAGCTCTAGTCAGAGCCAGACCCACCCCGCCCCCCCGCGAAGCACCCGCGACCCCACCTGCGACCCCCCCGCGACTCACCCCCACCCCCCCGGACCCACCCGCGCCCGCCCGCTAGCGACCCACCCGCGACCCACCCCGAACCACCCCGCGAGCCCCCCTCCCACCCGCGACCCACGCCCGCGACCCATCCGCCGACCCATGCCGCTACCCCCGCGATCCACCCACACCCACCCGCGACCCACCCCGCGACCCACCCTCAAGGGAGGAAGAACCACCCGGACCCGACAATTGACGTTTACTAAACGGCCCTGGGCGTTGACGTAGCACCCCGCAATTGCGGATAAGAGTGATGGGGCGGGCGCGGGCGACGCGGGCGTCGAGCCGGCGGACCCCGTGGCCCTCACCCTCCCTGTCGATGGCGCCGTCCTCCCCCTCCTCCTCCGCCTCCTCCTCCTCCTGCTGCTGGTCCTCCTCCTGCTCCTCTTCCTCGTCCGCGTCCTCGTCCTCATCGTCGTCGTCGTCGTCGTCGTCGTCGTCGTCGTCGTCCGCCTCCTCCTCCTCCTCCTCCACCTCCTCCTCCTCTTCCTACTTTTCGTCCTCCACCTCCTCCTCCACCTCCTCCTCCTCCTCCTCCGCCCGCCGCAGGCGCCGATTCGTGTGCCCTGACAAGTTCAGCGCGGGGGGGATCGCTGGTGGGCCACCTGGAACGAATGCAAAAACAGCCGGCCGCAGGCGCCGAATTTTTGGCTTGTTCAGTGAACGTAGTTTGGGTCGCGGGTGGGTCGCGGGCTCTTCACCTCCACCTGGAAGGAGTTGAACAACAGCCCGCCGCATGCGCCGAAAATTTTAATGTACACTGAACGTGGTTTGGGTCGCAGGTTCTCCACCTGGAACGAATGCAAAAGAAACCCGCCGCAGGCGCCGAAGTTTTGGCTTGTTCAGTGAACGCAGTTTGGGTCGCGGGTGGGTAGCGGGCTCTCCACCTCCACCTGGAAGGAATTCAAAAACAGCCCGCCGCAGGCGCCGAAAATGTTGATTTGTACACTGAACGCGATTTGGGTTGCGGGTGGGTCGCAGGTTCTCCACCTGGAACGAATGCAAAAGAAGCCCGCCGAAGGGGCCGAAAATTTTGAGTGGGTTGCGGGGTGGGTCTCGGGTGAGTCGCAAGCGCGGTTTGGGTCGCGGGTGTGTCGCAGGTTCTCCACCTGGAACGAATGCAAAAGAAACCCGCCGCAGGCGCCGATAATTTTGGGTGGGTCACGGGGTGGGTCGCGGGTGGGTCACGGGCGGGTCGCGGTGGGTCGCGGGTGGGTCGCGGGTGGGTCGCGGGTGGGGTCGCGGGTGGGTCGCGGGTGGATCGCGGGTGGGTCGCGGATGGGTCGCCAGGGCGGTCTCGGGGTGGGTCGCGGGCGGGTCGCGGGGTGGGTCGCGGGGTGGGTCGCGGGTGGGTCGCGGGTGGGTCGCGAGGTTGGTCGCGGGTGGGTCGCGGGGCGGGTCGCGGGTGGGACGACGACAACAACAAACAACAAACAACAAACAACAAGCAACAAACAACAAACAACAAGCAACAAGCAAAAACAACAAGCAACAACAACAACAACAACAACAACAACAACAACAACAACAACAAACAACAATCAACAATCAACAAAAAACAAACACCACCAACAACAACAACAACAACAACAATTACTAGCACGTGGGGACACACCGTTCTCACCAGTGCCAGGGTTTTCATAGGAGGCGGGCAATACCCCCACTTTGTGGGGGGGCAGTGCAAGCTCTACCAAATATCCACACGACTCTTCGCCACCACCCACACCCAGCTTCCCGCCCTACGACGTTCGGACACTTCACTTCGTGGCCTGCGGACGACCGTGGCTACTATTCAGGGCCCCGCGGCCGACAACGACGGCGTGCGCGCGCGAAGAAAACACGAATGTGTCCCGCATGGTATTATTTGACAGGGATGATGGCCCTGGCAGGTGCGCAACCGTTGTCGCAGAAGTTCGAAAAAGTTGCTCGCAAAAGCCCGTTTGACAGAAATGTTTAAAAAGTGGTGGGTTTCCTACGAATCCGCAAGAGCGCGCGGGATGAGATTTTGACAATTTTTTGTTGAAAAAACCATTGGTTTTTTGATGTTTTTATGTTAAAATCGCTGCGAACACTAAGGTTTTGGAAGGATTTCGTCTTGCGCGCGCGAATGTCCACTTTACCTTGTTTTTTGCAAGGGATTCTTGAAATTTGATTATATTAGAACAAGAAATGTCATTTTCTATTGTTTTTTTTGCAAGGGAAAGCGGATTACAACAAAACAACCGGATCCTGTACACACCCTCTTTTCTGAGGCTTCCTCACGAAAATGATGAAAATGTAGCTGCGGCCTAGGCGGCGCAGGGGGGCGCGCACCAGGGGGCCCAACAATAATTATTCTTTAGAATAAATAATGTTCAACAACAACAACAACAACAACAACAACAACAACAACAACAACAACAATCACTTTACCCGAACGCTCAGTGTTCTCACCAGTGCCAGGGTTTTCATGCGACGCCAGCCAATACCCCCACTTTGTGGGGGGGCAGTGCAAGCTCTACCAAATATCCACACGACTCTTCGCCACCACCCACACCCAGCTTCCCGCCCTATGACGTTCGGACACTTCACTTCGTGGCCTGCGGACGACCGTGGCTACTACACTGGCGTGGAGTACACACCCACAGAAGTTGTTAAGCCTACGTTCGTACACCCGCAGAAGTTGTTAAGCCTTGTTAACCCACAGAAGTTGTTAAGCGGGAGCTCATGTAACATAAATGTTGGAAATCCATTGGTTTTTTTTAGGATTCGGACAGCGCGCGCGGGTAGAAATTTTGAAAAGTCGTGCAGGTGTTTTTCGAGGACCTACGGTGCGATTCGTGAGATTTTATGATGCGCGGTGCTAAAATTCTTAAGAAGCCCAATGGTTTTTGGAGATTTCGGCGTGCGCGCGCGAAGAAAAAACGAATGTGTCCCGCATGGTATTATTTGACAGGGATGATGGCCCTGGCAGGTGCGCAACCGTTGTCGCAGAAGTTCGAAAAAGTTGCTCGCAAAAGCCCGTTTGACAGAAATGTTTAAAAAGTGTTGGTTTTCCTACGAATCCGCAAGAGCGCGCGGGATGAGATTTTGACATTTTTTTGTTGAAAAACCATTGGTTTTTTGATGTTTTTATGTTAAAATCGCTCCGAACACTAAGCTTTTGGAAGGATTTCGTCTTGCGCGCGCGAATGTCCACTTTACCTTATTTTTTGCAAGGGATTCTTGAAATTTGATTATATTAGAACAAGAAATGTCATTTTATAGTGTTTTTTGCAAGGGAAAGCGGGGGGGAACAAAACAACCGGATCTTGATCACATCGAATTACCTGAGGCTTCCTCACGAAAGTGATGAAAATGTAGCTGCGGCCTAGGCGGCGCAGGGGGGCCGTGCACCAGGGGTCCCAACAATAATTATTCTTTAGAATAAATAATGTTCAACAACAACAGCAGCAGCAACAACAACAACAGCAGCAGCAACAACAACAACAACCAACAACAACCAACAACAACAACAACAACAACAACTCCAATTACAACAGCAACATCAACAACAAAAATCCGCATCGCGGAATTCCACTTTAGCCACGCACCCAGGGACAGTGGATGACCGTTCGGTTCAGCCCTCTCATTCTGACTAAGCAGCCCTGCCCTGTTCGATTCATTCCTTGTGTGCGATTACTGAACGGCTTCGCTTGCCGGGGTGATTATTATGGGGTCCATTTTCTGACCTCTACACCCGCGACCCACCCGCGATCCAACATCGACCAACCCGCGACCCATGTTCGACCCACCAGCGGCCTACCCACATTGGCTGAACGAGAACATCGGCGCCTGCGGCGGGCTCGTTGCATAATAAGTGAAACTGAGGCGCCTGCGGCGGGCTTCTCTCGAGTCTCGCAAACTGCCGACGTCCCCGCCGCCCCCTCACTCTTATCCGCATCTGCGGGGTGCTACGTACTTGCAACTCGACGGCAAATTACCAGGTATATCGAGCGCCCGTGTGAAAGTCGCACATCTACGCTTGGCGTGCGGAGTCAACAAAAAACTTGGCGTTCAAATTCATGTGGCATTCTTATAAGTCGATGCGCCATGTGGAAGCATGTGTATGGCGCTCAGGTGCAAACCTGGCGTTCGTATGAGCGCGGGTATTCTCGACGTCGGCGCCTTTCGCACAGGCGACAGCATGGAACACTAGATCTGGGGTCTCCTGCGGGCCCCAGATCTGGACGAAATCGACGCGTCTACCCGACAGGCCGAACGCGGCATCCTCAAGCTAATTCCAATCGGGCGAAGTTCTGGCCGGCGAACATTCAAAGTTGTGGGGCTCAGAAAAGGTGTGGCGTTCATCAACACTCCATGGCGGTCCTGCAATGCACGTTCCTGCTAATACCTGCGCGCGCTCTGGTGGTTGCCCCCCCATCTCGACCTCTCCCCGATGTCCAACCGGAGGTTTCCGCAGAAGGTCCCGCATGGAGGGCCGCATACACCTACAGAACATCGATCCCCTATGAATCCTCGTCGACCTGGCTTGATCCTCCTCCTTCCCTGCCGATTCTGCTTTACTGCGATCTGGGCGTGCATATCGTATTTTGTCCACGCCTGGCGTTTTCGCGCGGTTTGGAATCTCATGGCCCTCACGAACGGACCTGGCTGAAGAAATGCCCACAGACAAATGTGGACTGTGACTCAACATTGCTAAGTTTCCCAAGTGCTTGTTCCCAACCCTCCTTGGTTGGGTATTCGTTTTGAATAGAGCAGTGTGGTCGCGTCCTTCCTCCTCCCGCCTCCCGCCTCTTTCTTGCCTCTTTCTGTCTTGCCTGCGGGGGGCTGCGATCTGTGAAACTGTCGCCACTTTGGAGCCCTGCTGGGGGGCCAGCACAATGAGGGCCACGGGCGGATTCAAATTAGACCTCGCCATCCCTGGGGGGCTGCGATCTGCGAAACTGTCGCCATTTTCGGAGCCTGCTGGGGCGGCCAGCAAATGAGGGCAACGGGCGGATTCAAATTAGACCCGCCATCATGGGGAGCCTGGCGATCGAGAAACTGTCGCACATGTTTCGAGGCCTGAGGGGGGGCCCAGCAACAGTGAGGGCCACGCGCGGATTCAAAATTAGCCCTCGCATCCCTGGGGAAAGGGGGGCTTGCGAAGTCTGCGAAACTGTCGCCATTTTCGAGGCCTGCTGGGGGGCCCAGCACAGTGAGGGCCACGCGCGGATTCAAATTAGACCTCGCCATCCCTGGGGGACTGCGGTCTGCGAAACTGTCGCCATTTTCGAGGCTTGCTGGGGGGCCCAGCACAGTGAGGGCCACGCGCGGATTCAAATTAGACCTCGCCATCCCTGGGGGGCTGCGATCTGTGAAACTGTCGCCACTTTCGAGGCCGGCCTACTGGGGGGCCCAGCACAGTGAGGGCCACGCGCGGATTCAAATTAGACCTGGCCGTCCCTGGGGGGCTGCGATCTGCGAAACTGTCGCCATTTTCGAGGCCTGCTGGGGGGCCCAGCACAGTGAGGGCCACGGGCGGATTCAAATTAGACCTCGCAACCCTGGGGGGGCTTCGATCTGCGAAACTGTCTGCATATTTTCGAGGATGCTGGGGGCCAGCACAGTGAGGGCACGCGCGGATTCAAAATAGACCTCGCCATCCCTGGGGGGCTGTGCGATCGCGAACGTCGCCATTTTCGAAGGTGGCAGCGGGGGGCCCAGCACAGGGAGGGCCACGCGCGGATTCAAATTAAGACCTCGCCGGTCCCTGGGGGGCTCGACTTGACCCACCCCCCCGAACTGTTGCATTTTCGAGGCCTGTGGGGGGCCCAGCACAGTGAGGGCCACGCGCAGATTCAAATTAGACCTCGCCATCCCTGGGGGGCTGCGATCTGCGAAACTGTCGCCATTTTCGAGGCCTGCTGGGGGGCCCAGCACAGTGAGGGCCACGCGCGGATTCAAATTAGACCTCACCATCCCTGGGGGCTGCGATCTGCGAAACTGTCGCCGTTTTCGAGGCCGGCCTGCTGGGGGGCCCAGCACAGTGAGGGCCACGCGCGGATTCAAATTAGACCTCGCCATCCCTGGGGGGCTGCGATCTGCGAAACTGCCGCCATTTTCGAGGCCTGCTGGGGGGCCCAGCACAGTGAGGGCCACGGGCAGATTCAAATGAGACTTCGCCATCCCTGCGGGGCTGCGATCTGTGAACCTGTCGCCACTTTCGAGGCCTGCTGTGATCCCGTTTTTCGAAGTGGATAGGACGTGCTAGATGTAAAATCATCACTGTTATCAAGCCCCCTTTCCTATAGCCATGTACTTGGCGAGGTCTCCCGAATTCCGTCTGCAGTACATAGTAACCCTCGCTCCGTCATCGCCCCCTTATAAAGTATCCTAAACTATTTGCGCCCCGCTTTTGCGCAGGGGTTGGGTACGTCGCCAGGGTATTTTTTGGGGATCTCAGGCAGGGCCCCCTACCCTGGTGCCTGACGCTTCTGAGACCCCCCCGCGAGAGAACTTCAGACCCAATCATAAACCTGCCCGTGAGCTGCCTGTGGTCTCACAGCAGGAATCCAAGGGCAGAGGTCCTGGTGCTATTCTTGTGCCACGTGGTAGGTTCGGGACAGGACATGGTAGGAGGGCGGGCAAGACGGCCCCCTCCCCCCGCGCCCCGCCCCGCCCGAACCGCGCCCTCCTGCACGCCGCCGCCGACGCCGTCCCAGACCGCCGACGCGTCGGGCCGACGCCGTCGCAGCCGCCGCTGTCGCCATCGCCCCGGCCGCCGCCAGCGCTGTCGCCGATCCCCAGACCCCTGGCCTTGGTCGCCGCCGTGGAGCCCCGGGCCTCCGGCCCCGCGCCCCCTCGGCTGCTCAAGCCCGCCTCCCCCCCACCGATTTGGACGCCCGAGTTATCCGGGGTAACTCGGGTCCGGGGTAACTCGGGTTTGGGTCCCCGAAAAACGAACCCGAGTTAGCCCTGACCCAAGCTACCCCTGATGATTCAGGGCTCTGGACGCCCGAAATATCCGGGGTAACTCGGGTCCGGGATAAGTCGGGTTCGGAATCCCGAAAAACGAACCCGAGTTAGCCCTGACCCGAGTTACCCCTGATGATTCGGGGCTCTGACCGATGCCGTCGCCGCCGCCGCCCCCGGGCGTCTGCCGCCGTCGCCGCCGCCGCCGAAGTCCGGCGCGGCACCGTGCCGCGGCCTTCCCCGGCTGGCGCTGCGCCCACGGCGGGGCCAGCGCGGCGCTGGGTGCCTCGAGGGCCGACGGGGAGGAGGTGGAGGGCTCCAGACTCGAGGGGGCCAGGGGGGGCACAGACAAACAGAAACAGACCATCCTAGGAGACGCCATCTTTTCAAATGTTCTAGGCAGCCGTCTTCCCTTCCCTTCTCTCTCTGTCAACGTGTTTCATGGACCTCGACGGTCATGTTAGTCTGCGTATACACTTTCCTCCGGGCAGACTGGGTGGGGTATGACGGGCCTTCGGCCCTCAAAGCGTTTGAAAAGAAATCGCTCTCCTTCCACCTCCGTTTCGCTCCTCCGTTCTCGTCATCTTCTCCACTCCTCCCTCCTCCTCCTCCTCCTCCTCCTCCTCCTCCTCCTCCTCCTCCTCCTCCTCCTCCTCCTCCTCCGTCTCTTCATCCTTCTATTCGTCATCCTGATTCAGTGAAAGCCATGGAACAAAAACAGCACAAGCAACCCCCCATCCCTCCCAGTGTGGCGCCAGGTTGGGCGTGGCCTTATTGGGGAGGGAGAGTGCACCCTTCGTGCACTTTCGGGGCGCCCCCGTCTCGGGGCCCCTCTATGGCCCCTTTGCTACAACCTTCGATCACCCCCCCACATCGGGTTATCGCCCCCTGGCACAAGAGGCCCGACACATTGCATCGGATCGCTTCCTCGGGTCCGTCTTTTCATCCTGAGTCGTTCTGCGACGGTCCCAGGGCCGGAAAACGCAGAGGACGAGAACGATGACTAACCAGCCGTCGCGACTTGTTGTTACGCGGGACCCGACACGGCGCCCCAGACCTCCAACGTCCTGACCAACAAAATCAATATGGAATTATTCCGCCGCTTCAGCAACCCGCACAACAGCATTTTGAGCGACTAGCACGGTGTTTTTGTCTCTTGCGATCGGGCCAAGCCTGGAGATTCCACTGCATCCCCAACCACAGGGCAGCGAAGAGCGTCCTCCCTCGATCGAGGAAGGAGGAGGAAGGAATCGAGCACGAAGCTGCAGGGGCGTGCTTTTGGCCAATCGGCTTCCTCTAGCCCCCCGGGGACCTCTGCATACCCCCGGAGCCCCCCCCCCGAGAGTCCCTCGGAGACGCCCCGAGGTCTCAGCTCAGCCACGGAAAGCCTCCCGACGCGCAGAAGGCGTGCGTGCACCACCACCGCTCCTGGCCAGGGCCATCCTGTGCCCGGGCACGGCGTGTGTGCGCCCTCCTGGCCTCGGCCAGGAGGGCCCACGCACGCCATGCCTTGGGGCCAGGATGGCCCTGGCCACGCACTGTGGCGCAGACGTGCGGCGTGCCCCATGCGGACCGGAACGCCTCGTCTGGAGGCATCGCCCCCCCCCCCCCTCCGCGCATCCCGCACCCTCCACCACGCTCCCCCCCCCGCTCACAGGGTGGAGGGGCCGAGCTGGAAGTTCCCCGACCCCGCCCCTTCCCCTGGTGCTCCGTCCCCCCCCCCCCCGCAGCCTTGAAGGCTGGACGACGAGCAAAAGCACCACTGCACCAGACGCGCCAGGGCAACCCCCGGAGCTGCACAGCAGGGACGGTGGGGACCGGCTCTGAGCGGACCGTGGCCAGAGGGGACGGGGGGACTCCTGGCACGGAGCTGGTGGGGCTTGGTGGGGTGGGGGCGACGGCGGGGGACGGGGGTCACGGGAGACGAGCATATCCGTATCCGCGCCCCTCTGACTACCTACCAGACCACCCCAACCCAACCCGAAGACCCGAATTTCGGGTTGGGGGGGGTATGGGCTCCATATGTGTTTTTTCGACGTTCCCGGACCCCCCCCCACTAGAAATCGAGGGTAAATCCTACCCTTCGGGTTGGGTTGGGGTGGTTTGGTGGGTGGAGACCCTCGCGGTCTGGAGTCCCGTGCGCGACCCCGCGGATACGCGGTCGCACGGATGCGTCACGCGCGGGAAAAAGCCGCGAGCAGACGCCGCGCATCCGCGGGGGGTCGCGGCGGAGTGGCCCCGCCCGCGAAGCCACGGGTGCGGATATGTTTTTTTCGCCCGTGGGAGCTGGGGAAACCAAAAGGTACCAATACCGCTGCTCCCCGGGCCTCTTCTGGGGTGCGTTCTGAGCAGAACTTCGAGGCGGAGCCAGCGGAGGCGGCGAGGTTCTCCCAGGAGGCCGACAGACGGGAAAACGGCCGAAGGGCAGCGGTATGGGTACCTTTTTCCCCCTATGAGAAGCGGGCTCAGACCAATGCTAGACCAGGGCGCACAGAAGAATTCTCAGACCCGCAGTTTCTCAAGATGGGGTAGAGTTAATTCGGGCATGTCCCACGACAAATAAATTATACCCAAAGCATATCGCAAAATGCTCAAAAATAGTCAAAAATCGTCCCCATACATTTTTTGCCTATTTTTGAATATTGCTCCTGTAGAGGGACAGGCCCGACTTAAAGGTAGAGCCCCCCGGAACGGAAGCGCCCCTCCGAGGATAGGGGACCGATGCCGAGCAGGCGGAGGGAGGCCTCTCGAGGGCAGGGAACCAACCACGGCGTGGAGGGAGCGGAGATGCTCGGAGGGCACCACGTGTGCGCGTCGTGCATTTCTAATCGTGCTCATTTCTAATTGTGCTCGTTTCTAATTGTTCCTGGCCCCCTAGTGGCCAGGAAGAGGCCCAGGATAGAACAATTAGAAATCAAAGGATCTTGGCCCCCCAATAAATCAAAGAACTCCCGAAGAATGGGAACTGAACAATGTGCGCAGCTGCGCCTTCCTGGCTTGGACCGGACAGTGCCTGCACCGATCCCAGGGACAGCAAAAGCGGCACGATCGAAGCTCCGCGCAGATTGCTTGTATCTGCGCTGGACCCCCCTCACTGTCGGGCGGAGCGCGAGAAGCGCGGCGCTGGAGGCGACGCCAGGGGGGCTCCAGCGCCGATCCGAGAAATGCCGGCGCACTTATGTTTACGCCAATCCGATCCGAGAAATCCCGGCTCCAGCGCCAATCCGATCCGAGAAATCCCGATCCCGATAGTTTATGTCTACGTTAATTGCTGTTCCCCGATATACACCGATCCTGTGCCGAAGGTGAGCCTGGCCAGGATCGGTGTGGTGCCCTCCTAAATGCCCCCCCCCCCCCCCTGACGGCGCCGGCACGCATTGGTGCTGCACCAAGTACGGCGGCGCCGGCTCCCAGGGACGCCTGTGCAAGGATGGGGCGAGGAGGGGGAGGGGAAGACTTCGAGAAGGAAGGATTGAGGGCGCGGGGGAAGAAGAGGAAAAGAAAAGACAAGAGCACTTGCGATCCATTGGTGCGATCTCTTGGCAAAGCTGCAAGGAGAGCAGGCGTATAGTGGACAAGATGTGCAATATGTAAGAAGGCTCTGCAAACGCGGTGTGTTCCCGGCTACCAGCGGCTCTGCGGGCCCCAAGTGGGAGCACAACTGCGGAGAAGAGGAGGAGGAGGGAGAAGAGGGGAACGAGGAGGAGTGGTGGGGAGGGGTTGGATTGTTCAGTCACAGCATTCCTCTGAGAGGCAAGGGCCCGCCACGAAAGGCTATCAATGAGCCAAGATCGGCGAGCCAAATTGCAATGCAATGCGTTCTCCAGCGCGCCAACGAAAAAGACGAAGATGCGTCGCTAGCCCACACCTCGCAAAATTGGACGCATGGAAAACACACGTTTCACGGTTGGTTGGGTGTGGTTGGCTGGCGGGCCGGCTACCATGAGTAGGAAACACTTCTCGAATGCGCCCATCGAGTCAAGAATTCGGTTCGTCAGGGCGCACAGTAGCGCCAGGCAAGCATCGGACCGCACCAGATCCTAGACATTTCGGAATCGAACTGGGTCGGGCCAACCGAAATCGATACCGACTCAAGTCGGTGGACTCGACCTGAACCCCGTCCGGTGACCAGGGGGCGAAAGCTGCAGCAGAACTTACGAGCCGTGCTGACGGCACAACAGCAGGCGCCGTCTGCCGAAGCACCTCCTGGGGCGAGGCACGCGCCCACACATGCAAAAACACGGTGAGAGACGAGGAAAAAAAACTATGCACATGCACCGATTCTGGCCAGGCCCATCCCGAGCCCAGGATCGGTGCATACGCCCTCCTACCTTGGCCAGGAAGGCATATGCACCGATCCTGGGTCAGGGATGGGCCTTGCCAGGATCGGTGCATGTGCATAGTTCTCTTCGCCCGAGAGAGACGACAGCGTGTGGTTTCAACTCGCACACGCGCTGTGGCTGGCCCGTGGCAGGGTGCTTCCCTCGGGCCGAGGGCTCCTCGCGCCCCTGCCCCTCCGAGGAGGCCCCGGCCGAGCCAACGTGCCCACCTTTTTTCGGCAGGCCTGCGGACCCCGGCCGAGGCGCGGTGCGGACTGGACACCTCAAAGACATTGAGAACTGATGGGCCTGTTTTCCACCACCACCACCATAGGTTGGAGGGGGGAAGGAGGTGGAGGAGGAGGAGGAGGAGGAGGAGGAGGAGGAGGACCCCCTCCCACTCCAACATACGGTGGTGGTGGTGGTGGAAAACAGGCCCATCGAGAACAATGTACGCGAGAATAGGATCAAAGCCAAGATGACAGAGAATACTCCGAGTAGAGTTGCCATGGTACAAGCATGCCTACCAACCGCCACGTTAAGAGAGCCAGCTGCTGCACAACCAGGGAGTGAAGGAACGAGCAGTGTAAAACACGATTCAAACTCAAGCCAGCAAGTGGACCGACACTTGGGGACAATACCGACCTCCCTGCCCAACGCTGACACAAAGTCTGCTCGTGATTAGAGTTGGAACCTAACGCAGTCACCAACCGACCTATACCACGCAGCATCAGATCGCCCTGAAAAAGTGGGCCGCCGGAGCGACAGGATCAACAGATAACCCACATTAGCTACAATGTATGACGTGCTGGAGCCAACTTGCACCTCCTCCAAACAATCTCAGCAAAGAAAAGGCAACATGTGCACGTGCACAGGGAGTGGAGGCAGACCAGCTCAGAGCTTGCCATCGACCAAACTCACGTATCTCGCACACGAAATCTCAAATACATTGGCCGACTGGCTCGATGATGTCACTTGTGGACCCCCATCGGAACCACTTCCCTGACCACTATTGTAATATCATCTGCCCGGCGATTAAGCCGTATTAAACGGGATTAAGCGGGATGAGGCCGGATTTCGGACCTGGGCAAAATCAGAATTTGACCTCCCAAGAGTTGCATCCGAAATAACCCGTTCTCGGCGGCGGATCCAGCCGTGGCGACGAGAAGCATGCGGGAAGCCCAGCGTGGACGAAGAACGCCAGGGGGGGCCGCCGCTGTCTGGACCGGCACCCCGTCCCCGATGGCTTCCAGCTCCCAGCTTCCCACACGGTGGGGGCATTGGATAGGGAACCCTCAGATAAGGAATCCAGCCTCTGGAGGCCGGTGGAGCTCAAATCGAGGCTTGGCCGTGAACATCACCGCCGCCCTCATCAGACAAGGAGCCCTCCGGGGTCGGCAGCATCCTGGGCGCATTCCTCAACCCACGCCCCCACCGTAGCTCGAGCCTCCGGCGGCCGCCCGCTGCGAGCTGCGACCCGGGCACCCGCGGAGCGCTCTCGGCGAGCCGCAGCTGCTCGAGGGCACCCCGAGGCCCCAGAGCCATCCAGGACCAACGGCAGCGCCCGAGTACTCGGGGGCGTCCAGGAGGTAGGGACAAGCATAGGCGACACCGACACCAACAGGGCGAGGAGATGAGAGGAGGCAAGGGGGGTCTCCCTGGTGGTGTGGTCCCCCCCTCTCGCTCGAGACATCCCCAGCCTCCAGCTCGGGGAGGCCTCGTGGACCTCCTCGCTGGAGGTGGCCCCCTGTTGGTGTTGGTGTCGCTTCTCCTCCCTCCGAGGAGGGAGAGGGGGTGCGCCTCATGGCCCGAGGCAGGTGCGCGGCCGCGGGGAGGACGGGGGGGCGCGTTGAATGAAGAAGAGGGGCCGTGACATCGGGGAAGCTATCATGGCCGCCCTCGTCATGGCATCCTCCCCACCGATCACAACCTCGCTCTTGGCAGGACGCATAGACTCCGACCGGTAACAAACACAATGAAAAGCGCGTCCAGCCATGCGCCAGCGGAGCAGCCCTGTCCGCGCAACATTTTTTTCGGACCAGAGCGGGAGCCGACCAAGCGAAGCGGGCCACCAAAGGAAAAAGAAGGGGCGGGGAAGCGAGGAGTCGAGGAGGAAGGGAAGAACCGGGTCGCTCCCAACTGACGAGCCGCGCTCCCCCTCTTCTTGGACGCCCTGGATGGATACGGAAACAGTGGATACGATGTTTAACAGCATATGTTGCCCAAGAGCGACAGCGGCCACGGTTGGGCATGCGACTCCTGTCTCGAATGGACAACGCCCGCGGCGACACCGACAGCGAGCCCTGGTCGAAATAAGCAGGGCATGCTGTCGGTTGTTGTGCCCATTATTCCCCTACTTACCCGTTTCAGTCGTACCTCCTGCGGCAACTCATGGGACCTCCCATACCATCTGGTAGGTTCATGCGAATCGACGCTCGTCGACGTTAGTCGACGCTAAATCAACGCTAGTTGACGCTAAGCGACGCCCCTCGACGCTAATTGACACCAAGTCGGCGCGATCGCGTCGTTTACCAATTGCCAATCGACGCTGACGCAGTCAACAACCAGAACTGCGAGGGCACACAATGCTCCCAAATGTTGCTACTGAACGTACCGACACTTGGCCGCTCCAAGACTCACAAACCTCTCATGATCGGTGCCCAAGCGGTTTTGCTTTGACGCGTGTTGCGCGGCCCGCCTCTTCGACCGAACAGGTTTGCGGCGGCATGGCGCCGGGCTCCACAACATAATGCACCTGCGAACGGAAACGCTGCCAACTTTCTCGCTCGGGGGCGTCCAAGAGGCGGGCGTCCAAGCGGGGTGTGTGCAAACCATGGCCCGAGGCATGTGCGCGGACCAGGGAGGGCCCAGGGATCGAATTGGAAGAAAAAGGGGGGCCGTGAATTCTGGGGAGGTGCCAGGGCCCTGGCCAGAACCTCCTCCCCCCTCCCCCCGCCAGTCATCGTCCCCCTCCTGGCCGCCCCCGACTCGCGCTCCCAGGGCGCGCCGAAGGTACCCTGCCGAGGCGCGGGTCACGCCGCGCGGGGCGGCCGCGCGGGGCGCCTCGGGGCCAGCCTCGCCGCCGCGTGCGGCGTGGGCACGGAGCCGAGGGCGCCGCGCATGCCGCTTCCAGGCGGGGGCCGCGGCCTCCCCGCACGGCGGCGGCAGACACGCGCGACTCGCGGCGACGACGACGACGACGACGACGACGACGACGACGACGACGACGACGACGACGACGACGACTCCGCCGCCGGCCGACGCACGTCGTCGTCGTCGTCGTCGCCGGCGGCGGCGAGTCATCTTGGAAACGTGATGAAGCGATGGGCAAGCCATGTAGTACACACCACATCGTGCGGTGTCCGACGGTGTGTGTGTGTGTGTGTGCGTGTGTGCGTGTGGCTATGGCCGCGGGCGGTTCTAATGTGAGAGGGTCTGCTGGAAGAACGGAAAAAGGAGAAGACGAGGAAACGTATACGAAAGACGGTTCGGATGGGGACGCGGGAGTGCGTGAGACGATGGGCAACGGGGGGCTAGAAGGGATTCCGACAAGCTCTCTTTAACACCCCTGGGGTGGGTCACGGGCGTCGGCATGATGTCTCCAGACGCGGCAGCGGGAGTTACACGTCGTTCATTTCTAATCGTGCTCATTTCTAATTGTGCTCGTTTTTTACTGTTCCTGGCCCCCTGGTGGCCAGGAAGCGGCCCGGGACAGAACGACTAGGAATGAAAGGACCCTGGCCCCCCAGAGAGCAAAGAACTCTCGAAAAATTGGAAATGAACAATGTGCACCGTCCTGGTCTATCCCCAACTCGAGCCCCGCCCTCGCGATGCGGGAAGCATGTTCCAGCAGGCCCGCTGCCGCCACGGCGCACCTCCCCCCCCCACCCAAGGAAGCAGGCCCTGCCTGCGGCCTCTCCTGCTGCCCAGGCTCTCTTTGCACGCCGCTCCCCCATTTCCCAGCACGAAAAGAATGAAGGGGCCCTGGGACACACACACACACAAATAAATAGGCACAGATAAAAGGATTCCCCATATGTTCCGCGCTGCTGTTTCCCCCCCCACTTCCCATATTTTCCCATAGGTTCTGGGGAATCGACGATTCATTGTGTCTGTGTGTTTCTTCCCCTCCTGAAAGAATCGACTGCGCAGGCACGGCCCCAGGCTCTCGCAGATCCTCGCGAACACGGGCCGGCGCTGTAAGCACCCCGCTCCTGGTGGCGCGAGGCGCGCCAGGGGCGACTCCGCAGGCGACGCCCCGGGGGTCTGGTGACAACCCAAGAGATCCGCGCGGACCTCCGACATCGTGTGACTGTGTAGCCCGTTCCAGAAGCCCTGAGCTTGCCATCGCTCGGACGTCCATTCCCCCGTGCCTTCTTGGGTTTCGTGCGTGCTTTTGTTTCTCGATGAGCCAGGGTTTCCTCAATAGTCCTCGCCGAGAGCACATGCACACGTCCAGGAGTGCTGAACTCTCTGCCGCCAACGTCCACGGGCGCTCTGCCGCCTTCGTGGGGGCGCCCTCGCCTCACGTCCGCTGGCCTGCCGCCAGCGCTCCGCCGAGGAAGAGGTGTTCACGTCACCATCACCCGAAGGCGCACCCCACGTTTGTGCTGTTGACTCGGCAACTTGCATTGGCCGCTCACCTTCTAGTTCACCATCCGTGCCCGAGGCCGCCTGCACCCTGTTCCTGGCGACGATTCTCTTCGCCTGAGGCATCCCTTCGCGCTCCCCCTCCACGGCCGCCCTCTTCTTTTTGTCCGCCTGTCCAGTGTGCCTCTGCCTGGCGGGGTCCTCCGGCTGGCCGAACGCGCTCGCGTCCGCTCTCGCAGCTGACCATACATAAGCATGTGTTTCATGTTTGCTGTAATTCGGACCAGGTCCTTCTGCAGCAACTCATGGGAGCTTCCCATGTCGTCTTGCTGGCTCTTGCGAATCGGTGCTGACCGACGCCAATCGACGCGAATCGACGCTTAGCGCTGCTCAACCGGCGCCCTCTCATCGATTGCCAGACACTGGCGCATGCTGATCAACTCTGTATGGGGCGGAATTGCGGGGACACGCATGGGAAAACCACAAGGCACCGATACGGCTACTCCCCGGACATCTCCCAGGGTGCGTTCTGACCAGGATGCCGAAGCGAATCCAGCGGTGGCGACGAGGGCCTCCCAGGAGGCCCAAAGAGGGGATAATGGGGGAACGGTAGCGGTGTGGGTACCTCGTCCTCCTCTGGATGCAAGACTCCCGTGAACTGCTACCGAAACGCCCCCGCGTCTGTACACCGCCTGGGACGGCGCCGTGCGCCCGATGCCCATCCCGCCAGCCCGCGCTGCTCTGCTTTTCCACCTCGCGCACTGCCTGCGTTCTGACGGCACGGCAGGCTCTCCTGCCTGGACGGCCGTGGAGGCCGCCCAGATGGGCCCAGTCTAAGACGAAGCCAGGACAGGGACAACATCGGACAGAAATACATTGAGAATCTCTGAGATCTGGCGCTTCTGCAGGAGGTATCGGGCGCTGCGGCCTTCCCAGAGCGTTCTGGAACGCTCTGAGGGGGTTGCGGAACGCTCTGAAGGATTTATCCCTGTCCTAGCCCCGCCGCCCGATGGTCGGAGGAGGGTCAGTTGAGACAACGGCAGCTCTCGCTGGTTATTGATCGTCCTTTTTGGGCCTCCTGGCAGCTACGTCGCCACCTCCCTGGCGCCTAGCGTTCTTGTGAGCCTCATGGAAACTTCTCGTCGACTTTGCTGGACCCGCCTTGGAAAACCGGTCAGGATGGACCGCGGCCTTAAGCCAGCGGCCGTTGTCTCAACAAGCCCTCATCGTCCGAACCTTGCGCCGACACGTCGGCGATGCACTGGCGACGTCGAGATGAAGAACATTGGGCTCCAGATCGTGCCGCATGCTCGGTGCATCGGCGATGCGGCGAATCCTCCGACCCCCATGTTCACCGTCCCCATCCGGGCGGCCTGGAGGCCTGGGCCCTGGCGTTTGACACCATCAACCCCGGGCAAACTTGAACGACCTCTTTGGTGTCTGTTCATTGAAAGCCTACGTGGCCCCCAGAGCTGTCCAATTTGAGCCTCATTGAAAAGAAAATTGGGACACAACTGGGACCGGAGTTGGACCGGAGCCGCCGCTCCACAAGAAGGAGGGGCCACATGCGGGCCACGTCCGCTCCAGTCTTCTCGAGGCGGGGGCCTATAGGAGGTCTGGCCCACTTCCCCGGAGCCACTTTTTCGTCCCGAACCGTTTTTTGACGGTCCCGAGCCCCGGTGAGGGCCCCGCTGCTCCAATTTTTGAAGGGGCCCTGGGACACACAAATAAATACACACAAATAACAGGATTCACCATATTTTCGTATATTTTCTGGGTTTTTGTCTTCCCCCCCACTTCCCATATTTTCCCATATTTTCTGGGAAATCGACGATTAATTGTGTCTGTGTGTTTCTTTCCCTCCTGAATTTTGTCGGAGCGTCGGATCTCTGGGGACCTCGAAGGCCTCCGCTCCCGAGGCCCCCCGAGGGCACGGCCTCGGCCCGCCGGAGCCTCGCGTCGGGCGCGGCGAGCTGGGCGAAGCGAGCCCTGGCGAAGCGAGCCGTGCCAGTGGAGCCTTGCGGAGGAGGAGGAGGAGGAGGAGGAGGAGGAGGAGGAGGAGGAGGAGGAGGAGGAGGACCAGTGAAACCAAGAAGCCTGGCGAAGCGAGCCCTGGCGCTCATCGAGCCCTGGCGAAGCGAGCCCCTGCGCAGCGAGCCGGCCGCGCCCCCGGGAGGCCAGAGGCCCTCGAAGCCCACGCGGACCGCGGGGGGCTCTCTCGGCACGGGCGGCCTCTCCAGAGGGCCCCCGTGGGGCCCACGGCGCGCCCCGTCGGCGAGGACTGTGCCGGCCAGTCGTAGGAGCAAGGAAAGGAGACACCAACACCAACAGGGCGAGGAGATGCCAGGCGGCAAGGGGGAACTCCCTGGTGGTGTGCTCCCCCCCTCTCGCTCGAGACATCCCCAGCCTCCAGCTCGGAGAGGCATCGCGGAACTCGTCGCTGTCGGTGGGCCCCCTGTTGGTGTTGGTATCGCTTCTCCTCCCTCCGAAATCGGCGGGCTGTCGTGAGGAACACCACGTAAGGAACGAAGGGGCTTTTCTCCGGTACGAATGGGTGCGGTGAGGCATCGAACAAAGAACCACTGGATAAGGCATCAAAGCCTCAATCAAAGGCCATGAAGCCAGGAGAACTCCAATCGTCGATTCGCCAAGGACATCACCACCAGCCTCATCAGTTAGGGAATCCAAGGTCTGAGGCCTCTTGGGCACATTCTTGAACCAACACCCCCACCGTACGAACACCGACAGCAGTTCCTGTCCATGCTGGACAGGACTCGCTGCCCTCGCCGCCGCGGACGCTGTCCACTTGCGACAGACGACCGCCTCCCAAACAGCGGCCGCTGTGGGCTTTGGACATTACTCCTCCTCCTCCTCCTCCTCCTCCTCCTCCTCCTCCTCCTCCTCCTCCTCCTCCTGCTCCCTCCTCCCATTTCTCCGGCACCCCCATTCGGGCGCCCGTACTCCTGACCACTGCCAGCCTCGGCCACGGACAGGTCCCCCGACCCAGACCTCGGGGAGCGGCCCCAGGACCAGAGCCCCATCCCGAGCCCCGAGTGGCCCTGCTTGACGGGCTTGTTGTCCACACCACCACCACCATAAGTTGGGGGGGGGGAAGGAGGTGGAGGACGAGGAGGAGGAGGAGGAGAACGAAGAGGAGGAGGAGGAGGAGGTGGAGGAGGAGGAGGACCCCTCCCCCTCCAACTTTTGATGGTGGTGGTGGTGGAAAACAGGGCCATCACTGCTTCCAGCGCCCTGGCCGCACGGACAGGAGCTCTTCCTCTGCGCGTGGCGGCGGCGGCCCTGGCGAAGCGCTGTGCCCTGCGGGCGGACGGCGTGCCGCTCCCCTTTCGCAGGGCGGGAGGCTCCGAAACGCTCGGGACGTTGGCGCTTGGCGGTGGGGACGTGGACAGCGTATCCCGCCAGGGCGTGGTGGGCCAGAACTGGCGGACCGACCCGCTGAGCCAGAGCTCTGTTGGTATTGTGATTGGCCTCTGCGATCCTGCTCTGGTCAGCAGAAGACGAAGAACCACGACACAAACGTTGGCTTTCGGAAGTCCGAGCCCTAGACCCCAAGCTCGCATCGACTGATGCGGGACTCGTCTAGACAGACCGGTCCGTGAGGGCTCCAGGGCTCGGGGCAAGGCGAAATCGCCCTGGGGAAGCCCAAAGGTACCGATACTGCTACTCCCCAGACCTCTCACAGGGTACATTCTGGCCAGAACATCGATGGCGACGAGGGCCTCCCAGGAGGCCCAAAATGGGGAAAGCGAGGGAAGGGTAGGCCCAAAATGGGGAAAACGAGGGAAGGGTAGCTGTGTGGGTACCTCTCCCTCTTCCGACGCCCCGAAGGTTTGGCAGGAGACGTATCCCAGGGCTGGAGTTTTTCTTGGCAGGAGAGGATGCAGGGGGGCCGCAGGTCAGGGGCAGCGGCATGCCGGGAGAGGTACCGAGAGAGGAGGGGCACGGGGGCAGGACGCGGCAGCACGGGAGCATTGCTCGAAGAAGAGGAGCAGCATACACCGGCGGTGCGCGCGCATCTCTCAGATGGGCGCTGGACCCCACTTCCATGGTGTGCGGAAGGGAACGCGCAAAGGGCGGAAACAGCTAGGCGCCCTGCGCAACTGTCCGCCTCCCCTCCGCGCCCGAGAGTCGCCAGGGTGCCCGGTCTGCCAAAGCGCGCCAAGCTGCAGTGCAAAAACGGCTGCAGGATGGGCGCGGCGGCAGCAAGATCGCGGGCGCGGGGGCAGCGTCAGGGCACAGTGTTGCGCCGACTCGGGAGAAATCATCCGAGCCGATCGCATCGAAGTCGCGTGCCCAGTCGGCGAGGCACACCGAAGTCGCACGGCCCGGAAGCGGACCGAGCCCGCCGCGGCGGGCCTAGGACGGCGTCGCGCGCCGAGGCGACCACCAGCGGTCCTGCCGAGCCGATCAATTCGCGCCGACGACAGCGGGCATCCGGCACGAGCGAACCAGGATGAATCGAAAGATGAATCGGGTCGCATAAATGAAGGGGCCCTGGGACACACAAACAAATAGACACAAACAACAGGATTCCTCACATGTTCGCGTATTTCACGGGCGTTTGTCTTCCCCACCACTTCTCATGTTTTCCCCTATTTTCTGGGGAAGCGGCGATCAGTTGTGCCTGTGTGTGTGCCTGTGTGTGTGTGTGTGCGTGCGTGTGTGTGTGTGTGTGTGTGTGTGTGTGTGTGTGTGTGTGTGTGTGTGTGTGTGTGTGTGTGTGTGTGTGTGTGTGTGTGTGTGTGTGTTTCCCCGTCCCGGATCGAGAGGAGCCGCGAGCGACCAAGAAGCGAACTGCGCACCGCGGACGCCAGCGGCAGCGGAGCTCGAGAGGCCGGAAGGGGGCGCGGGTCGGCCCCGCGACCGTCCCCGAGGACTGCCCCCGCCATTCTCCTCCGCCCTCGTCCTCCCTCGTCCTCCCTCTTCCCTCTTCCCTCGTCCTCCCTCGCCCTCCCTCGTCCTCCCTCGTCCTCCCTCGTCCTCCCTCGTTCCCCCTCGTCCCTCCCTCGTCCCTCTCTCGTCCTCCCGTGCCTCCCTCGTCCCTCTCTCGTCGTTTTACTGCTCGTCTCTCCCTCGTCCCCGAGGACCTGCCCCTCTCCTTCTCCTGCTCGTCCTCCCTCTTCCCCCTCTTCCCTCGTCCCTCTCCTCCCCCTCCTGCGCCTGCCCCTGCTATGCCCGCTTCTTGTTGGGCTCGGATCGGGCGTTTTCGCGCAAGGATTCATTTCTCGCGACGTCGGATCTCGGGGAAGATCAGCGCTTCATCCCGCGTAACCTGTTGCGCATCTGAGCCCAGGGACGGCCCTGGGCGGCCGAAAGCAGGGAACAACCTTCAGGACCCCCTCCACTGCAGGACAGGTCGGCGAAACTGGCCGCTGTGCCTCCTTCATGGCAAACCCAGGTCTCAGAACAGATTTCTTCCGAGGCCCCTCTTCAGGACTGCCCTAATTACTCTCCTCCAAGCTGCCTCTTGAGGGTGGGTCCTGTGACCCGGGGTTTCTGAGACTCGACGTATCGAAAACAATGTGGGAAGCCAAGACCATAATCTTCTCGACCTCTAGACCCTTCCTTCGCTCAGTTATAATCAACCCCAAACCAAAAAAATGCTGCCCATGCAGGACAGAAGTTGAAACTTTTCTGTCGCCAGATAACGTTTCCTATGAGACACGCCTGCATCGCAGAGCGGGGGGTGGGGCGTGAAAGGGCTTGCCATTCTTTAACAAACAACCATGCCCCGATTTGCGGCAACCGCGATCGTCACGGCGACCCTGCATGACCGACTTGGAGGTTCGGTTCGGGGTCGGGTGTCACGCATTTCGGTGGCAACTCATGGGTGCCTCCCATACCATTTTGCTGGCTCTTACGAATCGGAGCTGATCGACGCAAATCAACGCTAATGGATGCTGAATCGATGCTAGCCGAAGAAAGTCGGCGCCAATCAACGCTAGGTCGGCGCTGTCTCATTGGTTGCCATACGAATGCAAGACTCCCATCGGGAACGCACTGACCTGGGTCAACGCAAACCCGGCCCAGTCAAGCTTTGCGTAACCCTGCAAAACAGCTGCAAGACCCTGCGCGCTAATCCGGGTCAATGCAACCCCAGCTATGCAAGATCCTGAAAGTTCCTGCAACCCCGGCTATGCAACCCCTGCAACCCCGGCGCGCTGGCTGACCCCCATTTGCATTGACCCCATGTTCAAGGCTCCCAACCTGATTTGCTACCGAATGCAATTACTTTTGTGGGCACTCCTCGGGCCAGATCGATCCGCGAAGCTCCTGGGGCTCCCAACCGAGACGTCCGATCGGCGTGATCCGTTTCCATGGGTGACCCCGACGGTCCTGACCCCCGTGTCGCAAGAGGCCGACATCGAGAAAACACACAGGGATGGAAAAGCATACATCGCCAGAGATCAGGGAACACGGCGAAGCCACCCCGCCCAGACAAAAAACGCATGCCCAGATCTCAGGGATGTGGGGGGAGGGATGGGCCTTCGAGTAGGATCATGCCAGATTGAAACCAAAATCAAACCAGACTGAGCGGACTAAACGGGACGATCGTGACTAAACGGGACGATCGGCTGGAGTAGCACTGTTGCCGTCCCCGGATACACCAGCGCCGACGCCGTACTTCACCCCCTATATCCAAACGCCCTGTGTCCTGGGCTCATGAGATTCGCCGTTACAGAAAATTTGAACATCGCGAAAAATTGCAAGGAGAGTTCTGGAACCGAGCTTCCTGCTACAATTTTCAACCTCGATCGGTCTGCAGTGGTCTCGGGGACTGGCCGGTGTGAAACAACATGCAACGCCCCGACCATAAGAGGGGGGGTGGAGGCTGCAGAACAGGCCCCCGCTGCCGCTGACAGCACCCCCCTGGACTCGCCCTCAGTCCCGGGGCAGCTTAGAAGCCTCCTGGGAGCCGCCCCTGGGGGACTCTTAAGGGGCTTCCCGCGGCCGTCTGGAGGGCGTCCTGGAGCCTCGTCGAGGAGCTCTCGAGGGCCTCTTGCGGCCTCCTGTTCTTTTATTGAGGGGGGGGTCCTCCTGTGGGCCTCTTGGGGCCGAGGGCTGAATAGTACGCTCGGGCGCCCCGCCGCCGCGCCCGCTCGCGGGTGGTCCAGGTCCTTCGGCTCGGCCCTCCGCGTGAAGTGGTTGTCGACCACCTGCCCGGGCGGCAGGATCGGGCGGGCGGCGCGAGCGCGGCCCCGAGGCTCGAAGATCGCCTCTCGCGAGGGTCGGGCGGCTCTGCTTCACTCCGACTCCGCTCTCTTCCCCCTCGCTGTCCCTCGCAGCTGGTCGGAAGAGGGCTCCCGGAATGGAGGAGACCCGCAGAGGAGTGCCCCGTAGGGGGGGCGGGGAGCCAGAGACCGCCCTGTCCGGCAGGCGGTGCGCCGAAGGCTTCCCGACAGTGTGTGCATGGATCGTGCTCCTCCCTGCTTCCCCCTCGTCTTGAGCCTCCACGAGACTCCCTCGTGGCAACACGGCCAGGACCCTCTCGAAATTCTCGCCCGCGCGCATCCAAGGACATACCCTTTGGTCGACTTGCATCCCACGATGCCCGCGGGTCGACTGGTCACCCCCAGACCCATGCCTACAGCGTCATGGAACATCACGACGACGATTCTTGGCTGTCGTCGGCCTCCGCGAGAGGCCTCACCCAGACACTCGAGCCGTCAAAAAGCAGCTCAGAGCTAAAAGCCGGCCCTGGGTGGCAGGTCGGGACTTCTGGGGGCCCCGTGTCGAACTCATCCATCGGACGTCTGCGACGCTGCTCCCAAGGAGGGGAGAAATAGCATCAGTCCGCCAGGCCCCGCGGGGTGGCGCAAGTCTGTGAGACATCCTGCCTGACAGCCGCGGGCGCTCTTTCTTATGTCTGTTGCTCTGGCCACATTTGGAAGGCGAAGAAACAGCACAACATAAACTGTTGACGGTCCGCGAAGATGTCTTGGATTGATTTGTGCTGGGCCGCGGGAGGCGCGGCCCCGGAGGGGCCCCAGCGCAGATCCAAGAAATTCCGCACAGAGCTCCGAACGATGATATTCGTGTATGCTTCGAGTCTTTCGATCTGGTCGTCATCTTATCTCCCCAGCGCTGTCTCCACTACGCTGTCTACGACCAAGGCCCCCGCCGCCGAATAAAGCCACCTGGGGGAGATACTCAGCCTGCTGGGTTCTCTACGGTGCTTCCCGTAGGGGCCAGACAACTGGGCCGAAAAAACTTCCAAAGCGACCCCAAGATGCTTCAGACAGCCCCAGTGCATCCGAAACGGCGTCCCATGACCCAAGACAGCGCAATATGGCCTGAAATAAGCCTCTTGGATCGCCCAGGAGGGTCCCAATAAGACGCCTCGAGAAAACGAACAATCATTGACAATCCGTTCTGTCATTCGCACTGCTTCTCGCGTGACCCATGCTCTAACCTTACAATTTCGGAAGAACCTTCTCTTGACGCCGGTCCACGGATGAACGCCGGCTTGCAGCAGCCTAGTGCAAAGTCGCATAGCAGTGAAGATAAGGGAATGCAGCACCTGGCTCATACCACAAAGCTTACATCACATAGCCCACACGAAACCATTTTGCATCAAACGATTGAAAACGAATTGCGGGCAACAATATTCGAAGGTCCAAAGGCCATTCTGGAGGGCCCGCATTAACGGGTAGAGGCCTCCAAGAACGGGTCGGAATAGATGATGTCAGCTGATCGCACCGCAAACGATTTCGGAGGGGGAGGGTTCGCATGTGGCCCCCTGTCTCACGCGCAACTGGCATCGGTACCTGTTCCTGTTCCGAACGGGGCACTCCGGCGAAGGGTCGCACTTGCGCTCCGCCGACCAGGCGCGGGAAAGCTGCCGGGCGGAAAACATGTCCGTATCCGCGGCATCGCGGGCTGGGCTCCGGAGGAGGAGGAGGAGGAGGAGGAGGAGGAGGAGGCGGAGGCGGAGGAGGAGGAGGAGGAGAGGGAGGAGGAGGAGGAGGAGGATCCGTAAGGGCTTCGCCCCCTGCCGCCGCTGGGCCGCGACTCCGCGGACACGGGGGCTGTCTTTTCGCAAATGCCACGCGCGGGAAGTCTCCGTGGGACCGCGCGTCCACAGGATCACGCCGGTGCGGACTGCCTCCGCCTCGCCGCCGACGAAAAAAGTGCCGCTCGTGAACTCTATGAGGACGAGGAGGAGGAGGAGGAGGAGGGAGAGGAGGAGGAGGAGGAGGAGGAGGAGGAGGAGGAGGAGGAGGAGGAGGAGGAGGAAGGAGAGGAGGAGGACCCTATGCAAGAGTGACCTTTGGTGCGCGGCTTTAGGGAGCTGCAGGGGAGGCCAACACCACGCAGACCAAGGGCGCCAGGCAGTGCTGGCGCGATCTACGTGAACGTCAGCGCCCCACAAACGGGGACTCCACTAACGGGTACTTTGGCCAGTGACCCAGCGAACCCAACCCTTCCCGATGCGGGCAACGCTGCATTGCCAGAAAGAGGCCCTAAAGTGGCAACTTTCGGCAAAAATTCAAAGTACCCGTTAGTAAGTACCCGTTACGGTGCCGTTGAGAACGATTCCAGAAACCCGGACCACAAAAATGTTGCCATCTGATGGAGGGCGTACTCTTTCACTTCCGCTGGCGTCCGTCTGCGGAGTTTCCCCCGCTTCGCCTGCCATCCAAACACTACCCCCACCAACAATCGATTCTCCTGAACCGATGAGCTGCAGGGGTAGACTTCAGATTTCGCCATGTGCTCGACGAATTCAGAACCAAAACCGCCCATCGAGTTGCTGGAATCGTAGACCCACGTTGGCAGTGGCTGGGGTCTCTGGACTGGTTGGGACCCCAAAAACATGGATCAGGAGGGGGGGGTGACGCCAAATGCCATCAAAATCGGTCCCCCTACACTTCCCAGAGTCCATCCAGACCCCTGATCCGTCTCTCTCAGGAGGGAAAAAACACACAAACACACACGGACACAATTAATCCTCGATTCCCCAGAACATATAGGAAAATATGGGATGTGGGGGGGAAGACAAAAACCTAGAAAATATGGGAAAATATTGGGAATCCTGTTATTTGCGTGTACTTATTTGTGTGTCCCAGGCCCCCTTGACTCTCACCACCCAACGGACCCCGGAGGCCGGAAAAGGCAACACAACAACTTCCCGAACCAAGCAACTCGCCCGCCCTTCCTGCTGTCTTGAACCGGTGCTGGTCCACCTCAGACCCCGAAACGGCCCCAAAATTGGCGAGGACAGTCCGAAACTGGAGCATATACATTACCAGTGGCGGGCTGTTTTTCAATCCCAAGACTTTTTGAGGGTCGGGGACGACGTCGGGATGGTGTGGTGTATACATGTTTCCCCGTTTTCCTATGGAAACAACAAACAATGCACGTACACATCAAGATCCCGTGTACATCAAGATCCACTTTCCTGTGCGACTGTCCTTGCGGGGCCGGAAACAAGCGTCGGTGTACATGGACTCCGGGTCCCTGGGCAGGACTCGGATTCCGCCGCCGAACTCCCATGCGCAACCGCTCGCGATAAGAGGTGCCTGCACGCCGGCGGGGTCGACGTACAGCACCGCCGTGCTGCCCTCCTCCTGGAGCACCTCGCGGATGGCGCGCACGCCGCGAGGGCTGCGCGAGCAGGACGCCGAGCCGAGGCGCCACCGCCGCGCGTCCTTCGCGGCATCCTGAATTGGGTCCGAATGTACGGGGTCGGAAGATCCCGCCGCATCGCCAACGCTTTGCCGACGCATCGGCGATCCTTCGGCGATGCACTGGCGATGCATCAGCGCCGCCGGATGCGTCGGCGACGTCGGCCTGGTGGAAATAAGGCTCCGCATCGAGCCGCATCACCGATGCATCGGCGATGTTGCGCGATGCTCCGGCCTCATCTACACGTCGTTCATTTCTAATCGTGCTCATTTCTAATTATGCTCGTTTCTAGTTGTTCCTGGCCCCCTATGGCCAGGAAGAGGCCCAGGATAGAATAATTAGAAATGAACGGATATTGGCCCCCCAAAAAATAAAAGAACCATCGAAGAACTAAAAACGAATGCTGTATACTCCGACACCATCTGGGGGGCCTATAGAGTCCTTCCCTCCACCTTCGGTGGCAACTCTCGGGCGCCTCCTGCACCATCTTGCTGGCTCGCTCGAATCGACGTGGATCGAGGCGGAACATACGTTCATCGACGCTGGATCGGCGCCGCCCCATCGACTACCAGACGCTAGTGACGCTAGCGACGGAGCTGAAAGTAGTAGTCAAACCTGGCGCTCGCACGGCGCACTGACATATAAAAGGTAGTACAGTGCAGTGCAGTGCAGAAGCTATGCACTAGCCTTGGCACGGCTCTCGGGCACCACTGCCGCCACTGAGCCGGATTTCGGGAAGGGCGTGGCGGGCTGAAACGTGCGCACTTGGGTCACCTTCGACTGCGTGACGAGCACGAAATTCAACAGAGTTATACAGAACGCCCGACTGTGAAGCAGAGGAAACAAAGCGCCTCACGACTGTGAAACACAACGCGCGATACGAAATTCCATGAGAACGCATCGGCTCCACCTGTGAGGAAAAGCGGGGACGATGGGGGGGAGGAAGAGAAGCAGGAGGACGAAGGAGCTGGAGGAAATAAATGCGTTGGCGGAAGACTATACAGTCAAAGAACCCACTGCTGTTTGGCCTTCCTCTGCGGCGCCGGTGCGCCCATCTTCTGGGCACGTCAATGCCAGGCTGGCAAGTTAAACATCTGAGAGGGTTGTCCCCGGGCAGTGCTGCGACTTTTTCGTGCAGCGTTGTTTGGCGCCACCGAAGTGTGGAGCTCAAAGGGTCTTCCCTGGCTCGCTCCACACTTTCATTAGACACTCGTGAAGCATATGCACTAGGAATTCTTAAAAATCGTCTCAAGCATTGCGCGTGGAAGCTGTCCAAACGGTCTTTGTCGGCCTGCAGAAGCCAACGCGTCTCTACATTGTAAAAACCATTATGGCAAAAGGATTGCTCTGTACAGTTGGTTCTTCTGGCGCGGCTGATGTTGGCGTGAGACCTACCCGTAAACAAATTTTGAAAACAGCCTTTGGCTTCACCGATTATCCTGATCACGTCGGGCTTTGCGATGCACTTCGCTTTCAGCAGGCACCCAAGATACACTGCTTGTTCCACCGCTGTGAGTGGGGCTCTTGTGGGTGAACAAATCACACCGCCATTGCACACGTTCATGCGCACAGTCCTGCCCCAGTTCAGATCCAGGCCGTACCTTCGTCGATTACAATGTGGAATAACGTCTGTAAGTTCCCGGAGTCGTTGCTGAGGGGCATGGTATCATCTGCGTAATGGAGGTCACGGCGCACCAAGTATTCTGGCTCCCGGGTGTCAGCGTGGAAGCCATCAGTGCGCTTGTCGATGTCGTAGAACATAACGCTCTGCACGATAATGAACAGGCATGGCGAAAGGGGGCAGCCTCGGGCAATTCCTGCTGCCTGGTTCCGCAGGCTTGACTTCCCAGCTTGGTACTTTAGAACGAAATTCCCGAAGTGGTAAATTGCCGCCACCATGCCGCTGGTAGGCCAAATCTACGAAGAGCGTTCAGATGCGCGTCAAGCTTTACGCGATCAAACGCTTTGGACCAGTCTAACAATACTGCAAACAAACCTGGTGCCTGAACTGTTTGCGCTGCTGCGAACATCCGCCTGGCAATGCTAATGGCATGGGCCGCGCCTCTTCCAGGACGAAAGCCGAACTGGCTAGATCGCATTATTTTCTCGGCCCGTCCCTTTTGAATACCTTTGCAACGGCCGGACAAGAAGCTTATACCCGATCGTTGATAAATCTATCGGCCGATAATTCTCCGCCAAACTCGCGTTGCCCCTTTATGTAATAGTGCGAGTATGGGTACATGCCACTCGCGAAGAATATCTTTTCCGTTCCGACATTTTTGAAGAATGCCAGCACTGCCCGTCATGTTCCTTAAGAGCGCGCCAATGTTCTCCAAAGTTCTGGGGCTATATCGCTTACGCCTGCAGCCTTCCTTGTAGCTGAAGCCCGCAATGCTTCTTGAAGCTCCTGCATCCCAAGAGCGCCAGTGTAAATTGGCAATGCGCCCCCCCACGTCGTCGTGCCTGCTGGGTACAAGAGTAGCGTAAGCAACTTGCCATTGTATTTGTTCGAAATAAACTGCAAGACAGTCCGCCTGGTGCTCTCCATGAATTGCCCTCGCCCATCTTGAATCTGGATTGGTCGTTTCGGTAATATCTTGTATAATGCGCGCGCAGCTTTCCAGTGGCCTCCGGCCAGTTCAGAATCCAACCAGTCACGCTTATCTTTCTGCACGGGCGTGTTGATGCGCTTGTTCAGCTTCTGCTGTTCCGCCAGATTGCCCTGCCGTTGGGCATCACCTCGTTGATTCAGTAGACCAAGCGTGACTGCAGAGATCCACGGTCGTCGCGGTGCCCTCCCCGCTGTTTGAAGTATGCTGGCTGCATGTCCCATGGCATTTTGATGCGGCTGGCGCGCGAGTCCATATTCAAATCATCTGTGGACGCGACGGCGGCTTCGCAAAACCGGCGTTGAGCAACATCTGTTTTCAATGGTTATGCCTTGGCCGAGTGTTGGGCATGTTACCGAACTCTTGGTCGATGGGCATGCGCAATAAGAAATGCCGCGAAGCCAATGAACATGACCGGTCTGCCCGAGGATCGGTTATCTCGTTCATTGCGTTGTGATCCGTGAGGCAACATCCCCCATACAGGACTGGTTTCATCGATCTTTGCCCCATAGTACGCGACTAGTTCCTCCAGGGGGTGCTCGAAAAACGCATCGGCGATGGCGCTTCCCGTTGCTCTGCAAGCTTCCCAAGGAAGTTTCCTGTTCAAATGTGTTGTTCTTCTTGGCCCCGAGCTTCCGAACATAGTCCCCTTTGACATCGTCCTCGCCAGGCTCGCGGTCATAAAACCTAGCATTGATAGGGGCAAACAGACCTACCTCGCTTTTGACCACCCTCGCCTCCAAGAGATACCAAACGATGCCAAACTACGGCCTGTACTGGTCAGGCCGCTTGACGAGGAGGCGCGTGGTATGACTTGGTTTTGCCTGGAAGCGCAAGCGGGGTAGGTAATTCACGCTCTGAATTGAAGCAACCCAGAACAACGCTGCAACACACGTTTGCTCGGTGCCGGGCAAATTTCAGTTAGCTGGCCCAAATAAGCTCGCGTCGAACCTCATAGTCGTAGCCCCCGTGAGGGGCGCAAGCAGAAATCACATGCAGCACGCCGCCCAGAAAATCAAGCTTCAAGATGGCAGGCCTGTCCGAAATAAGCTTGTAATTGGTGGCCGAATCGATGGCCCAATGTGCAATCAAGACACCGACGCCAGAATAACATATTCAGTCAAGTGGCTGTGACGTGCCCAGCAAGATGATCATATAGTCGTTGTCAAACGACTCAGTGTGCGAAATGATCCCAATCTCCTGCGCGCATAGCACAGCAATGGCTCGCGCTGCGCATGTAGCGTTCCAGCTCTGCGATCTTAGCCATATCTTAGCCTGAGCTTTTAACGCTCCAGCTGCCAAACGACTGCGAGAACAGCGGGATGCAATGTCTCGTTGGGGACGGTCTTGGAAAAGAGGAGCTTCGCGCGAAGGAGATCTGGTAATGTGGAGGTTCGTCCTCGCCGGCTTGTCCACGACGGTGCCGGCGCTCTCCGCTATGCACTGGCGGCCGGACGGCGAGCGTCGAAGAAGGAAATCGCGGCGTCAGCGTCGCCCGGCAAATCGGAGGCCTCCAGGGAGGCAATCAAGATAATGATGCAGAAGAAGCCGGGGGAGTATAGGGAAACGAAGATGAAGGTGAATAAGCACTGCGTAGCTGGCGGCGCGGCCTGGCATCTTTGCCCAGGCACGGTGCGGACAAGATGTGCGCATCATCTTTCTGCATATCGGCATTAGTTTACTCCGCGCTCCCGACTGGTAGCGGGGGCGGCGTGGCAATCAGCAAGGCGAAGGCGTCGGGGAAGAGAAATAAAACTATGAGTAGGGGGCACGCGGAGGTCAGAATTGTCGAAGGCGTCGCCGTGGGACGCTCCACTGAGAGCAGCTTCCGCGCGAGTAAACGATGAAGACGCACAAAACAAACCCGTGGAGCTGCAGGAGGACATCGTGGTAGCTTTGCCCAGCAATCCCCCAGCACCGGTCAGGGTTCGTCCTGGAGAGCTGTCAGAAAGTGTATGATTGCTCACTTCAGGAGCCGATGCTCGGTGAGCAAACGAATGTAGAAGAAAGGGGGATGAAGAAGGAAACGATGATACGCAAGGTAGATTAGCAGCGCGATCTTCTTGAAGAGCGGGAAAAGGCACACGTTGCGAACAAGATACATGTATATTGGTAGCTTTGCCCGCGATACCGATTGTCCCAAAAGTCGTGCACAACATATATGCCATGGCTGCGGCACTGGTGGCAGAACAACTTCGAGAGGTAGATTGGCCTGCCCAGCGCCGCCACCGCAACGGTTTCCCTCCAACTGGGCGAGCAGCCGATACTGGCAACGAAGGTCGCGAAGTGGCACCACGTCAGGCTCATTAAAATAATATAGACATCAATTTGGTCCGCCCCTGCTCGCGAGTCGCCGCGAAGGTTGGCGAGCTGGAACCCGTCTATGTCGTCGTCGTGCCTCCCAACTCCAAACTATGCAGCATCATCATCGGGAGTGGCGGTTATCCACTCAGCGCCCGAAGCGCCCACCCGCTCTAACAGAAGTCACCAGTGCCAGAACAAGGGGTGGAGAAGGGGTGCTGAAACAGGCTCCAGAGCTGCAGTGGGTGCTCGAAGGATGAGGGGAGGCGTCAGTGGCGACTGAAGGAACTCCTCACGACCTCCTGGTCGAGAGTCCGCCCGAGAGCACAAACGCTGTACGCACGCGGATGCTCCGATCCCGAAGACACAGCTGGCCGCGAAGACAAACACGGTCCCGACGGTGAAGATGATGAACACCATGATGCCCTCAACGGTGAGCGTGCCAGATAGACTTGAAATCCAACCAAGTAGAAGGACAATGCCAGACAATAGAAGGACGCCTCGACGGCCTCTCGCTGGCAGCTGCTGGCTCAGGTGAAGGGTAGGATGAGCGATGACATGCAAAGTTGCCCCTGAGCCGCACAGCTACGGAGGGGAGGACGTCGCACCGTTCGACCATCACGAGAAGACACACGTGCAGGCCCTATTAGTATCATTCGTTTTGTTATCATTACGGTCATCATTCGGATCATTCTTTTTATTACATGTCATTGTGTGTTCCGGGAAGCAAGGAGGCAGGAAGAGAAATCCGCTGCCCCTCACGAGGGCGATCCCGAAAGCACACATCACGAAATGCAAATTGCTCGCAAGTGGCATGGATCCGCAGCGTGGAGTGTACGATCCACTACAGGAAGGCAACCGTATGACTTTCGGGCGATTGCGAGTAAGCACTTCGCAAAGGTGCAGCGCGCTGGGTAACCCGTGGACGCCCGTGAAGACATGCCCGTGAAGACACGGAGTGAGCGCCAACGGGCCCGAGTGAGGAGCCGCGCAGGCAGGGATGCACCGCTACAGGACTGCTCTGGCGGGTGGTACTAAGTGGCGACCTGGATTGGCGGTGAAGAAAAGGAACCTCAAGGGCCCTTTTAGGAAGCCTTTTTTGCCCATTCTGGCTCCTAAAGGTGGGGTCCTTTTCTTCGCCCTCCAGGTAGGTCGCCTCCTATTACCACCCGCCCGAACTGCTGAGGCTGTGCTCGACCTGTAACGGAGTCCAATCCGCACCGATCCCCCACGACTGCCTCTCGACGGAGCGGCGAGCCCAGGGGATCGGTGTGCTGTCCACGACCCTTGCTCCTGCCCCACCCCATCGGCGATGGGGGGGAGGGCGGCACGAGCAGGAGATCAAGCCCATCGAGAGCAGGGCGTCCATCCATGCCCTGTCGCCCCTGCCGCCAAAAGTGCGTCGGAACTTTCTGCGGATCCTTCACGGGAACGGCCCCGATGCTTGCTGCTTGCTTCATGTTCGCAGCAAGGGGCGCATAAACTGCAACCGACTTGCAAAACTAATGACACCCAAGACACAAATGGATCCGAGCTCGTAAACTAATAGATCACGGAATACGTGGTAGTGAAGATGGACACGAAAATGAAAGGTCATGAAGTGCTTTGCCTCACAATACCTTTCGGACACGTGACATGGCTAATGGCACGTTAATGACCACCTGACTTTGCACCAATGGTCTTTGCAATCGCAAGAGCACGAACAACGATAAGAAACGAGCCACTCGAAGATCAGTAGTGCGTGTACGTGTGTTTATGTTTGTGTGTGTGCGTGTCCATACATAGTTGAGCAAGTCATTCGTGGGCCATTTGTAGATTGATAGTCGGTCAAACTCATTGGCGGGCCACATTCATTAATGGGCCATGAGTGGGGCCAGTCAAGGGGACGTCAAGGGGCCATTACCCGGGGATTACCGGGCCATTAGTAGGAAATGTGTGGGCCATTAGCGGGACGAGAAAAATAGCGGGGCATTCCACTAGCACCTGTAAAGGAACACCCTTCCTGAGGACATGACTGCGACGATGGCAAAATCGGCCCACTTCGCTCCCCCGAATTCGTTAACAAACCACAACCATGGTGGTTCGGCCACAAGAAACCGGTCTCATAATGCGGCCCTCCCTCGTCCTCCAAATGGCGACTTTCAAAACGGGGGCGTTCTGGCCGACATTTCGAGGTGGACCCAGCCGTGGGCGAAGAGGAACATCGGAAAGGTGCGAAAAGGGAAGGGTGTCTTACAACCTTGCTCGATCCCTCCTCCTCCAGGACGTATGTTGGAAGCCTCCCAAGCGGGGTCCGAGCAAATAGGGTTGGAGGATCGCGCCGCATCGCCGATACATCGCGGATGGATGCATCGGCGTCGTCGGCGTGACGGCGTGGAGACAATCAAGTTCCACATCGAGCCGCGTCGCCGGTGCATCGGCGATGCGGGGCGATCCTCCGAACTCAGCTACTCCGAATACATATGGCGGCCTAATGATCACTCTGGCGAGAGGTCACCCAAAATGACGTTCGGGCCATGACGCCCGCCTCAGCCGGCCGCTCGGGACGATTCCGGCATTCCCAGGACGCCCTCGACGAGCCGCAGCTGATGCAAACCACCCCAGGCCTCGCATTCGAAAGAAGACCTTCGAAAACCCATCCGAAGGCCGAAGAGCCACTCTGGAAGGCCCCGCTTCTCCCCAGACCTCTCCAAGGATGTGCTCTGATCAGAACGGCGGGTGCATCGGCGATGCGGCACGAACCTCCAACACCATCTGATGGGACCCCACTTGGGAGGCCTGGACGCTCCTTCGCCTGCGAATGGTCCTGGGACTCAGAGTCGGCGAAGGGCAAATTGAGGAAAACATGCTGTCCGAGAAAAACATCCTGCCCGGACCGCGGAAATCCAGAGTGGCTGCCCCGAAACAATCCGGGAACCGATAGCCTCGCAAGCCAAGGACTTGACCTTGACCTTGCCTCTCCTGACCCCCGAGAGGCTGACCGCCACGGACATACGCCGGACGGCATCGGCGGCGGCGGCGGCGGCGCCCCTCCGCATGGCACCGACAGCGGCGCGGGGCCTCCCTTCGAGGCTGCCGGGGGCAGCGTCGCAGGGGCGGGCGCGCGGAGCTCGGGAGCGAGATCCTCGCCGCACTCGCGGAGGCTGCGGGAGGGCTCTCGCGCTCGTGCTGCCTTCTCTGAGAGGCTCGCCCCCCCCAAAAAAAAACCCGACGTCGAGATGTTGTGTCACAGTGTCGAACCCCTGAGATCGCTACCCACCCATTCCCCGCGACCGGCTTCTCATCCCGAACCACTTTTTCCCACACAGGCCGAACAAGGACCCTCAAGGGCCGAAAATATAACACAAACAAAACAACTTACGTTTTCGAGCATGGGCCCGTTGTTACCCGTTGGTGCTGGGTCGTCCTCGGCGGTCTTCGGGCACTCTTCAGCGGTCTTCTGTCGGTCGTCGTCGGTTTCTGGGGGTCCTCCCGCATTCGCGGAAGGTGGAGGGGAAAGACAGGGGACCATGACCAAGCCTGAACGCGGGAGTGTCGTGTCGATCGGTCAACGCCGATCTCGGTCAGCGTCGATTCGTGGATCACCCTCCCGAATCGGCGACGGCTGACAGGGACCAGGACCAAGATTGTGATCGACACGACCCCGCGGGCGGAAACCTCAAAACAACTCCCCACATCGGACCTCCAGAGGACGGGGAGTGGTGTTGTGGAAAAACGAAGAACACGAAGTGGCCTACATTTGGCTCCGGGCATTCAAAATGTGGCCTGGGAGTGGTGTCCTGGGAACGCGAAGAACACGAAGTGGCCTGCAGTTGGCTCCAGGCATTCAAAATGTGGCCTGGGAATGGTGCTCTGGGAATGGATTCCTAAGAATTCATAAGAATTCTTAAGGATTCCTAAGGCTGCTGGATCCTGCCGGATCCCTTGTCCGGGTCCCGCCCAGACCCCCTTGGGGCGTCAAGATGCTCTCTTTTGAGACCACTAGAAACGTATCAGCAAAAGCTGTTAGGTAATCAAAAACGCGGGGGGCTGCTAAAACAAACTTATTCGCGGCGCTGTAGTGCGCAAGTACAAAACACAAGGAAGGCGGAGCAAACCGGACTGCGGGGGACGTCCCCGCGACCGCCCTGGCACTCCGCGTCCACATGCGTTGGGCTCGCGCGGGAAAGCAGGTTTTCAGGGACCCCCACGTCCACGACGCTCGGCGCCGACGCTCGGCGCGTGAAGGGCGATCGACGCCGGCACTTGGCACCGACGCTCGGCACTGACACTCAGCGAAAACGCTCGGCAGTCAAACTCGGCGCCGACATTCAGCACCGACGCGCGGCGCGGGTACTCACCGCGAGTGTACTTTGAGCCCAATCGCCTCACCAGAATGCACTTACTCACCAGAGTGCACTCTGGACAGTGCACGTTGGGCATCCAAAAGAAATGCCCGGAACACAAAGACCCGTGCATGGCGACTTTTCTATCGCGAACAATACAGAAAACGCCACACGCGCGCGTCGGCACATTGTTGGCTGCACCAATGGACAACAACGGAAAGACCGCATGTCACGTTGGAGATCCCATCGGCGACCGCTCAGGGTTCACTTCTAGTTCCCAGACCAACATGGCCACCTGCCTATCGCGGGCAACACAGAAACCGCCACGAGCGCTCGCGCGCGTCGGCGCACTGTAGGCTGCACCAATGTACGGAAACATAAAGACCGCATGTTTAGCCTGGAGCTCCAAACAGCATGCGCTACGGGTTTATTTTAGTTCCCAAGCCAGCATGGCGAAACCCCTATGGACGACAATGAAAGATCCGCCACGCGCGCGTCGGCGCGTTGTAGGCTGCACCAGTAGACGAACGCTTAAAGATCGCATGTGAAGATGGAAATCCAATCGGCAAGCGCTAAGTATTCACGTTGGTCCCATGGCCAGCGAGGTGACTTCCCGATTGTGTGCAAAACAGAAGCCGCCACGCGAAAGCGAGCGTCGGCGCATTGTGGGCTGCGCCAATGGACGAACACAAAACATTAAGACCGCATGCGAAAGGGGAAATCCAATCGGCACCGGCTGCGGGTTAACTCCGCGCGCGCGGGCGCGTCGGCGCGTTGAAGGCTGCGCCGGTGAACGAAAACGTAAAGACCGTATGTTAAGTTGGAACACGAATCGGCAACCGATGCGGGTGCACTTGAGTTCGTAGGCCAGCACGGCGACCTTCCCACTGAGGGCCGGGGCGCACGCGCGGCGGCCCACGCGCATCGTGCATGAAGGGAAACAACCAACCACGCCATGCGCGAGGCGGCAGAGCCACCGCGGCCCACGCGCATCTTGCATGGCAGCGCGTAAGCGGCGGCCCATTGGCCCACGCGCGCCGCGCTTCCCCATGCAAGACGCGCGTGGGCCGCAGAGCGCGCGGCGGCCCCGGCCCCTCGCGCGCCGTATTTTTCTGTTCATGCAAGATGCGCGTGGGCCGCCGCGCGCGCGGCGGCCGATGGCCCATCGCGCATGGTTTTTGCTATGCAGGATGCGCGTTGCGCGCGGTGTGATTGTCCATGCGGGGTGCGCGCGGGCCGCGGTGCTCGCGGCAGCCCTGGGCCCCTCGCGTTTGTCTTGGTGTCCACGCGCGCGCGCGTGGGCCATCGCTCCCGCAGCGGCCTCGGACCCCTGGCGCATTCTATGCTTCCGCGCAAGATGCGCGCGGGCCGTCGCACGCGCGGCCTTCGATGCAGGATGCGCGGGGGCCGCCGCGCGCGCCCGCCCATAACCCCACGCGCAGCGCGTTGCGTTTTCCCATGCAAGATGCGCGTAGGCCGCCTCGCGCGCGGCGGTCCATGGTTCCTCGCGCGCTTTTGTTTTTTTGGTGGGCCGCCGCGTGCGCGGCGGCCCAGGTCCCTCGCGCAGTGAGTTTTTTTTTCTCCACGCAGGATGCGCGCGGGCCGCCGCGCGCGCGGCGGCCGATGGCATTTCGCGCAGTGTGCTTTTCCACACGCGCTGCGCCCTCGCGTATTCGTTTGTCCATATGATGCGCGTGGGCCGCCGCCCGCGCGGCGGCCCTGGCCCCTCGCGCAGTTTCTGCGTGTGTGTGTGTGTGTGTGCGCGTGCGCGCGTGCGCGTGCGTGCGCGTGTCTGTTTTTTTTTTCCCAGGCAAGATGCGCGGGGACCGCCGCGCGCGCGACGGCTGGTTCATGGCCCCTCACGCACGGTGTTCCCCCATGCCCGGTGCAGGTCGGCAGCCGCGCGCGCGGCGGCCCATGGCCCCACGTCGCTGTATTTCTCCATGCAAGACGCGCGCGTGCGGCGGCCCTTGGCGCCTAGCGCATCGGGACTATTCCGTGCAAGATGCGCATGGGCCGCCGCGCTCGCGGCGCCCCATGGCCCCTCGCGCTTTTGCGTTTGCTACACGAGGTGCGCGCGGACCGCCGCGCGCGCGGCGGCCTTGGCCCCTCGCGCGTTGTATTTTACCACGCAAGATGCGATTGGGCAGCCGCGCTCGCGGCGGCTTACGCCCCTCGCGGCACTGCGCGCTTCGGCGCAAGATGCGCGTGGGCCGCCGCGCGCACGGCGGCCCATGAAGCATCCGTGCATGTTTTTTTGTTCATGCAAGGTGCGCGTGGGCCATCGCTCGCGCAGCGACCTTAGCCCCTCGCACGCTGCCCGTCCGCGCGAGATGCGCGCGGGCCGCCGCGCGCCCGGCGGCCCATGAGACATTCGTGCGTTTTGTTGTTTCCATGCCGGGCGCGCGTGGGCAATTGCTCGCGCGTCCACATGGGCCCCTCGCACATTGCGCGTCTGCGCGAGATGCGCGCGGGCCGCCGCGCGCCCGGCGGCTCTTGGGAGATTCGCGCGCTGCGTGTGTGTGTGTGTGTATGTGTGTGTGTATGTGTGTGTGTGTCTGTGTGTGTGTGTTTGTGTGTGTGTTGTTGTTATTTCATCTGTCATGCAATATTTGCGTGGGCCATCGCGCGCGCGACGGCCTGCGGTGCCTCGCGCTTTGCTTTTCCCATGCAAGATGCGCGTGGGCCGTCGCGCGCGCGGCGGCCCACGCGCATCTTGCATGGGAAAACACGCAGCGCGAGGGACCATTGGCCGCCGCGCGCGCGGAAGCCCACGCGCATCTTAAACAAAGCACGAGAGGCCTGGGCCGCCGCGCGCCCGGCGGCCCACGCTCATCTTGCATGGAAACACACGATGGGCCATGGGCCGCCGCGCGCGCGCCGGCTCGCGCGCATCTTGCACGGAAACACACAATGCAAATGGCCAGGGCCACGGGCATCTCGACGGAAACGCGCGACGCGCGAGAGACCACGGGTCGCCGCCGCGCGCGGCGGCGGCCCACGCGCACCCCGTATGGGGGAGAAAAAAAACACAACGGGCGAAGGCCCACGCGCATCTTGCATGGACAACGGACAATTCGCGCGGGGCCATGGGCCGCCCCGCGCGCGGCGACCCGCGCGCCTGCGGCGGCCAGCGCGCGTCGCGCATGGACAAACAAGCGGGGATGGCAATGGGCAGCCGCGCGCGCAGCGGTCCACGCGGACCTTGCATGGAAACGACAATGCGCGAACCCGCACGCGCATCTTGCATTGACACAGAAAACACAACATGGGCTATGGGCCGCCGCGCGCGCGGCGGCCAACGCGCATCTTGTATTGAAGCAAAAAACAACGCGCGAAGGGCTAGGGCCGCCGCGCGCGCAGCGGTCCACGCGCATCTCGCATGGAAGAAACACAATGCGCGAAGGGCTGTGGGTCGCCGCGCGCGCGGTGGCCGACGCGCATCTTGCATGCAAAAACACAGCGCGCGAGGGGTCAGGGCCGCGGCGCGCGTGGCGGCCGACGCGCATCTCGCATGGAAAACACAACGCGCGAGAGGCGATGGGCCGCCGCGCGCGCGGCGGCCAACGCGCATCCTGCATGGACAACGCAATCAATGCGCGAGGGTCTAGGTCCGCTGCGCGCGCGGCGGCCCGCGCGAATCTTGCATGGACAAAAACAGAATGCGCGAGGGGCCAGGGCCGCCGCGCGCGCGGCGGTCCACCCGCATCCCGCATGGGAAAACACAACGCGCGAACGGTCATCGGCCGCCGCGCGCGCGGCGGCCCACGCGCATCTTGTATGGAGAACGCAACGCGCTAGTGCATGGGCCGCCGCGCGCGCCGGAGCCCACGCGCACCCCGTTTGGAAAAGCAACGCGCGAGGGGCCATGGGCCGCCGCGCCCGCGGCGGCCCACGCGAATCCCGCATGGGAAAATACAATGCGCGAAGGGCCATGGGCCGCCGCGCTCGCGGCGGCCCACGCGCCTTGAAACAAAAAACAAAAAATGCGCGAAGGGCCGGGGCCGCCGCGCGCGGCGGCCTTGGCCCATTCTGTAAGGGAAAACATACAATGTGCGAAGGGCGAGGGCCGCCGCGCGCGCAGCGGCCGTGGCACACTTTGTGGGAAAACGTAACATTGCGCGAGGGGCAAGGCCGCCGCGCACGCGGCCGCCATGGCCCATGCTGTGTGGGAAGCGTACGCAAGCACACTGTTCCAGTAGGACGAGAAGGATTTATTCGTCGAACGGAGCAGCCTATACATCTGCACGCAAAAAGTTCGAATGCATGTTTTGATGCATGCGCATGCGCGTATATGTTTACACTACACACATATGTTCGCTCTCCGTCGAATGTTTTTCCAAGGGGACGAACCAACAAGTAGTCATCCGGCGGCGTTTCAATGACACTTGGGATCCGGGAGGGGGGAAGGGGGGTCATCATCTTATAATCCGGTGTTGGACATTACCCCCGACGTTATATCTGTGCGTAACGTCGACCCCAACGGTCTCGACCCATTGCCAAGGACCCGTTTTCATCCAGAATGATTTTCTGACGGTCCCGAGGTTCGGTAGGAGCCCCAAAGAGCCGACCATAATGGTACACATTCTGTCGTGTAACTGTTGCTCGACTGTATCTCGCCTGCGACACTACAGGTGGTGAGCGCCCCTTTGCCTGTGCCCAGCCGGGAGCGGGCGTGATGGTCCTCCCACGGCCACATGCTGTCCGGGTGGAACAACTGGTCCACCTGAGCACGGGGCGGCGGCACGCATCGCAAGTGTAGGCTGCGGACAAAAACATGGGGTCCGGCGTTCCTTCCTGCAAGCTCCAGCTCATCCTCCTCGTTCTACACTCCTCCCCTCCTCCCCTGCCAATCCCCGCCTCCTCCTCCGCCTCCTCCTCCTCATCCTTCCCATTCACCCTCCATTTTTCCTTATGAATAATTCCTCACTCTCGCAGCCCGAGGTGTGTAGGTACCAGGAAGGGCCAGGCATTTCGCCGGAGACTTCCTCACCATGTTAATTCAAGCTGCCAGTTCGAATGTCTTATTGGAGGGCGGCCGTTTTCGAAAGGTGGCTGGCGCGTCAGCGCCGCGCACATTCGGCTTCAAAGTTCGCTAGAGCTTCGCGGATGGAGGGCGGCTCATGTTCAAAATGTGGATCCCGCGCCAGCTTCGCCCATATTCATCTTGAAATGCTTTGAGAGCTTCACGGATGGAGGGCGGACCGTCTGCAACATGCGGCTCTCGCCCTGAGCGCCGCGCGCACTCGTCTTGAACAAAAGCAGGAGTCTCACGGATGGGAAGCGGGCCGTCTTCGAAATGTGGTTCGCGCCTGCGTGCCAAGCATATTCTTCTTGAGCAAATGAGGAGGTTTCACGAATGGAGGGCGTTTTTTTTATGTGGCTACCGCTTTGGCGCCTCGCACATTCGTCTTCAACAGAAGCAGACGTTTGATGGACGACGGTTGCGTTCCGAATGTTGCTCTCTCATTAGCGCCGCGCACACTCGTTTCAAGAGCGCACAGCAGTTTCAAGGCTTCGAATGTCTAACGTCCCAGGAATGGAATGGCAGCGCGATGTCGGACTGCCAGGGCGCATCAATTACGTTGATTCGGGGCATCTGAGTCCCAAGAACGGCGTTCTGGCACGATTCGGGATCGCCAAAACGCAACGGAAACATTGATTCCTGGCGTTGATGTCCCAGGAATGGTGTTCTGGCGCAGCTCTGGATTCTGAAACGATGAACCTCCAACGGGACACTTCCTTCAGTGAGAACGGATCCTTGTACGTGCATATGGAGAGTGAACTTTGAGAAAAGGCTTGTTGCATCATTGTTGATGAGTCTTGGAGTTGCACTAGTCCTTGTCCTCCCCCTTATCAGGTCCTCTCCCAGGCGTCAGGAAAGGAAATGGGTATGGAGGGAGGAGAGACCCAGGGAGAACAAGAAGGCGGAGGAGGCGGGAAAGATGCCCAAGACGCTAAAGGCTAAGATGTGTCTTGCCAAGGCTACTACCATGCCGCACGGTGAGCTAGACAAGGCTCACTTGCCAACCAGCCGCCCCAAGAACCACATCCTCGCGTCCTCCGCGCGACTGCAGCGAAGTCTTGCCGCCGAGAACCGTTCGCGTCAGGTCATGGCCGTCCAGTCCGAGCGGGATCTTGGGATCGACTATGCGGCTGGCGGCGTAATTGGCAGGGCCACTAAGCGCAGCCGACGCACTGCCGCAGTCGCGTGTCAGATCAAGATTGTTTCGCTTGCTTGCCAGCTTCGCAAGCGTCAGGTGCATAACATGGCCCGAGCTGCCGTTCAGGCCTCCGCTTCCGATGGGTCGGAGGTGATGGGCACCTCGGAGACGGAGCTGCGCGAGGCGCGGCTCCTGCAGGCCAGCGTTCAAGCTCGGACGCTTTCTGGGCGCAGTGTCACGCGTCTTTTGCGCTTGGCGGGCATCGAGAAGTTGATCCTGCCTGTGCCCTCTGCTCTGCTCCCCTGCTGCACCTCGCCTCGGCGGTCTGGGAGTCTTGGGTGCCTAGGGGAGTCCTCTCCACGGGGCTCGGAAGGGGCCAAGCGAGCGCTCGGAGGGCACCAGTCGCCCTGGAAGGCCATCAGGGGACCCCTCTCCAGTTGTGTGGCGTCTGCTCGCAGGCTAGGCATCAAGATTAACGGTCTCAATTGATCCTGCCCGCTCGTTGGAGTCGTATCGCCTGCCGAGCTTTGTCCACGAGTGATCGCTCGGTACCCAGACCAGAGTGTCGAGCATTGGTGCTGGAAGCGTGTGGCCGCGCGTCTAGAAAGGCCAGGGTTCAAGTTGGAGTGCTCGCAGGCTGGCAGCAGCTTGAGGCTCACTGGAGGGGTTATGTCGTTTCTTTCGTTTCTGGTGGACAGTGGCCTGGAGCGACGGAAGCAGCACATCAGCTTCCTGAGATTAGCGTGTGCCAGGTATGTCAGGACTCCCCAGGCACATTTGCGCACAGGCATCTCTCCTGTCCTGGACACGAGGCAGTCCTCCAGGCCGAGACCCCAGCTGCTGCAATCAACATGGTCAGGAATGGCAGTCCAAAAGGGACCATGGGCTTCTCGCGGGAGATATGGTTCTTGACGGCGGCCTCCTCGACAGCGAGCTGCTCCCTCCGGCACAGAGTATTGGCTGGCGCATCGCTGAGTTGCAAGGGACCCAGGCTGTCTCTGTGTGTCCTGGCTGGGGGACTCAGAGCTGGACTGTGTGACATTGTGACTGCGCCGAGATCTGGGCCCTCCTGCGTGCGTTGCGAACCGCTCTGCCCAACGCCACGTTTTGGACCGACTCACCGTTTGTGCATGGCGGGATCGTCAAGAGAGGGCGGCCATAACTATTCTGTCTCTGCGAAAGCGGTGCATCCAAGTGTGGGCCGCCATCGAGAATCGTGGCGGTATCGAATCTCTTCGGCTGTCCAAGCTTAAGGCCCACACCTTTGCTGCGGACCTTGAACAGGGGCGGATAATGCTACGCCCGCGCGAAGGTAATTCGCTCGCTGACGAGACGGCCAAGGAGACCGCCGCTCTCAAACGGCCCCGTGGCGCTTCTGCGCACGTTTCCGCTCCCGGGCCAAAGTGCTGTCGTTCCTTCGTGTCTGGGTCGGACGTCTCGGCTGCGAGATGGCCCACGTCGACTGCCTGCATGTCCCCGCGAACGCCCGTGGCACTCGCAGGGAGGCCAGGTCTCGATGCGCTGTGCTGCCACCGCCTCTTGCCGTGCCGCCCGTCCCTTCCAGGGCCGACGTGGCTCTCGGCGCGCTCCGCCGTGAGGGTCGCCGCACGCACCAGGCGTTCCTCCTCTCCCTGGCCTCCCAGGTCTTGGGCGTGGCTTAATGGGGGGGTCACAAATGGGGGGGTCAGAAAAGGTCCCCTTTCGTGCCCCTTTCGGGCCCCTCCAGAGCCCCAGGGGGCTCGTTTAGGTACCGTTTGGGTACCTTTTCGGACCACCCTCATCAACCCCCCATTTATGACCCCCCCATTACGCAACGCCCAAAGGTCCAGGGCTTCGCCTGTTCCCGGAGTGGGCCGCCTTCCGAGGCCCATGCAGCAGTGGCAGGCCGCCTGCCTGGGGAGCGCGGGTGCTCCAGGCGCTCGCCGACGGGAGGCACCCCCGGGGTAAGAGCTGGGTGCCCCTGTCCGAGCCGCGGCGGCCGGGGCTGCTCGTGGAGAGTGGCCAGGCGCTCCGTCCTCTCTGATCTTTGTTTTTCTTGGGGGGGGGCCCTGTCGCTGGCCGGCGTCTGGGCAGTCAAACCCAGGCGCGGTGACAAACAATTCTCGCTCTGATGGCCCCCCCCCCCCCCGGTTTTTGGCAAGACGGAGGGGACCCCGCTCCCCTTCCTCTTGAGCTCCGTGCCGAGGGAGGAAGAGAAAGGAAGTAGGAAGGAACAAGGAATGCGGGAAGAAGGGAGAATATGATAATGGGACGGAAACTGAAGGCCAAGAGGGAGTGGCGGAAAGGCGGCCAACCACACTGTCGTGAGGACCGCTGCATGAAAAGGAATGGGCTCCAGATTGGGACACTCTGAAATTCAATCCGGTGGGAGAGGGTCTCTGCCCACCTCACCCCCTCACTATACCTACCTCATTTGAACTCTGATTGCCCCTGTCATCTGCCCCATCCCACGCGTCGCCATCTCTCTCTCTCTCTCTCTCTCTCACTCTCTACCACTCTCGACCCAATGCTTCGCCCTCTCTCGCTCTCTCCCTGGGGACGGGGCTGAGATCACCAGTGCGTCATCGGAGGGGGCGGCTGCTCCCCTGTCCCGCTGCCGCCTCCCCTCCCTCCAGTCCCCCCCTCCCGCTGCTCCCCCTCCCCTCGGCCATCCCGCTGCCGCCGCCCAGGACGCCTGAACGCCCTGAGCTGCTACCCCCCCTTAACCTGTGAAGCCTTCTCCACTTCCTCCTCCTCCTCCTCCGCCTCCTCCTCCTGTTCCGCCTCCCCCTCCTCCTCCTCCTCCTCCGCCTCCTCCTCTTCCTTCTCCTCCTCCTTCCTCGCGCGCGTTGGGCCTCGGCAGAAAAGATGTGCGGCACGCGGCCGCTGACCTCCTCCGCCTCCTCCTCTTCCTCCTCCTCCTCCTCCGCCTTCTCCTCTTCCTCCTCCTCCTCCTCCTCCTCCTCCTCCTCATCCTCCTCCCCATCCTCCTCTCATCCTCATCCTCCTTCCTCCTTCCTCCTCTCCCTCCCCCTCCTCCACCTCCTCCTCCTCCTCCTCCTCCTCCTCCTCCTCCTCCTCCCCAAAACCAGAACACCGCCCAGCGGTGACTGGGCCTGGGGCGGAGGGTGTGCGCCGGCCGGGGCCTATAAATTCCTCCGCCTGCCTTTCCTCCTCCGCCTTCGCCACCTCCTCCTCCTCCTCCTCCTCCTCCGCCTCCTCCCTCTCTTCCTCCACCTCCTCCTCCTACTCCTCCTTCACCCAGTGAGTATCCAGAAGTCACTGGAGCTCTCCTGAAGTCTCAGCGTCTGCCTCCCCCAGAAGCCCTCTGGCGCCACAAAGTCCTTGCGGCTTCCTAGAAACCGTCGCTGCCTACTTCCTCTTCTTCTTCCTCCCCATCCTCCCCCTCAAACCCTTCTCCATCATCCCTCCTCCGGGCTCGCATTCCGTCCTGCCAGCCCCTCCCCCCCCTCTGCCGGCTCGCGGCACAGGGACATCCGACACGCCTCACAGGCCTCGAACTTCTCCCGATCCCCCAAAGCCAACAGGCAATGTCAATATTAGGGATGCGCCCTCAGAAACTGAGGAAACCCCTAAGATCGGCATCGAGACACGGCGATGCCAAACATAGGCACAGGGACATGCTTCAGGCTGGTACACCCTGCGAAATGCTTAAGAAATCATGGGTTAAGAAATTCATAGTCTCAGAACTTGAATAAAAACCCAACGTTTCCATTCAAATCTTAGGATTTACATTGAAACGTTAAGAATAATCGAGACTCTGGCCGAAAACTTAGGTTTTCTTAAGCATCGCCTAAGGTGTAAGCGCCTTCCTGCCGGCACGGCGCCTCCAAAGGAGCGCAACCCCGCCGAGCAGCCCTTCTGCAGGGCGAAGGTGCTCGCCAGGGGGCCTCTTTGCTCGACGGCCCTGGACGGACGCGCCGACCCCTCGAGGCCGAAAACGATGCATGCTGCATATATGAAGGGGCCCCAGGACACACAAATAAATACACACAACTAAAAAGATTCCCCATATGTTCCTATATGTTCTGGGGTTTTGTCTTTCCCCCACTTCCCATATTTTCCCATATTTTCTGGGAAATCGACGATTAATTGTGTCTGTGTGTTTCTTTCCCTCCTGAATATAGCCTGGGTGTCCTGGATTTGTCAGAACGCTGGGTGCCTGGGTGCCTGGAGTCAAATCTGACGGCGCGCACAGGGGGGGGGGGAGGGCGGAAGGCTCCTCAGAAGGAGGCTGCTTCTTAGAAGGCTCCGGCCCTACATCTTGGGCATTGCCCGCGCCTTCTAAGGAGCAGGGGTGCTTCTGAAAAGCCTTCCCCCATCCCTCCATCCCCTCTGAGCGTGGCTGACATGCGGGAACAGCAAACGCCCACAACCACATCGAGGACACATCCTGGGGGATGTCTTGCGCATGGCAAAAATTGTCGAAACACCGAAACCAGCTTCGTATTGGTTGTGGTTGATGTTCCCAAGACGACCAAATCGACCACAACCACAACCGAAGTTCTCATGTCGAGGTCGTGGTTGTGGTTCTTTGTTGTGCCCGAATGACAGAGGGGGGGGCTGCGGCGCGGCGGCGCTCGGCAAAGGGGGCCTCCCGTCGCGCGGCCCGGTCCTCGCCAGCCGGAGGCGGGGCTGGGGCGGGAGGACGCGCGGTGCGCCATGGGCTTTGCCCAGTTCCCATGGTGCGGGGGCCCCCCGTGTTACATCCGCAGCGACCCGCAGTTCCCTCCTGCCTCCCTCCTCCCTCCCAGACCTCCCCCTCTTGCTGCATGTTGGGCCAAAGGCAGCAAGGATGTTATTAGCCTCTTGGCCTCCTCCTCCTCCTCTCCCACCTCCTCCACCTCCCACTCCCCGTCCTCCTCCTCCATCCCGCTCCAACTCCTACTCCTCCTCCTCCTCCTCCTTCTCCTCCTCCTTTTCCCCCTACGTTTCCTCCTCCTCCTCATCCTGCTCATCCGCCTCATCCTCCTCATTCCCCTCCTCCACCTCCTCCTCCTTCTCCTCCTCCTCCTCCTCATCCTCCACCTTACTTCATCGATCACCACCTCTATCCCCGCCCCCTCCGTACCGTCTGCCCTCCACATGCCTCGTTTCCGGGTGCTACGCCAGCTCTCCCGCACGGTCGCCTTCTCGGAGGCCTGCGACTGTCTTCTGTTTGGGCGCCTGCGCACAGACGCCACAGGGTGAGGAGGGTCAGGGGCGAATTACGTATACGTTTCCGCGGCCTCGTGGTCCGGGCCCCTAGGCCGCGACACGGCGGGCACGGGGCGTCTTTCGTGGATGCTCCCTGCGAAACATATTTATGCGACTGCGCACCCGCAGGATCACGCCTGGGAATCCAGACAACGAGGGCGCGAACACAGATGTTTTCGCCACTCGTGAGCGGTTCCCCTGTGGCCGCTGGCCCTACGTGCTGGCCCTACGTCTTGAAGCGAGCCAGGGGAATCGTCACGCAAGGGCTCGGTTTGATAAATAGGGCCGGTCAGGCCACCCCTGAAACTGATGAGCGGCAGCGTCATCAACCAGCAGCTGCACCTCGGGCTGGAGCCGAGGCGTTGCCGTGGCGAAGCCATGGCATGCTGCAATGAATTATGGACCCTATGACGCAGCCAGGAGGCAGCCAACATAAACCAATGGAGGGGTTAGCCTTGAAGCCGAGGGTTAGATGTAAAGGGTCCCTGACATAGCCGTGCGGCATCTACGGGGTACCCGTGCGGCAGCCATGAGGTGGATACGAAGGGCCTACAATTGAGAGTCACTATTCTGACCATATGTATGATGACCTTCCTCCTTAAGGGTAATGCCCCCCTTCACTACTATTCGTGTTACCCTTCGCTGCACACCTTTGCGTCGCTTCCGCTCATTGCGGCGACCACACATCATTATCCAAACATCCGGCCGTGACATGTCAAGATTGGCATCTCCATTGTATACCAACAAGGAATCGCGCATGCTTCGCCAGCCAGCTCGATATAACGAAGAGCGGAGTGCTGGATCACACACGCACACGTACAAATAGGGGAGAAAGCATGGGCGACGTCAGACTCAGAGAGAAAAGCAATTGGGACGATATGGGGCGATGCCATCAGAGCGAAGTCCCACCAGCCCTCTGGACGCAGGCGGCTCGGAGCCTCAACTCTTCCAACACAACCCCCATTATGCCTTGCACCACCAGCAGCACCACCTCGCCCGACAATCTTGAGCTGCAGATAGCTTAAGGTTTCCTCAAACGTGGCGTAACATCGCACAAGATGGCTTACTTTATACCTTCCCCGCTGAGGCTCAAAACTGACCTATCGCTGGCCTCCGGGATGACCCCAAGCCTCCCCAAAGATGGCACCGAGGTGACGTTATAACAGAGTCATATGTGTTGCCAAGTGTGTTATCGCACTCTCGCCTTTTCGGTTTGTGATGAGGCGCAAGATGGACCAAGACGGGCCCAGGAGAGTCCCAATAGTACCCGAACGAGCTCATGACCACCCCAGAAAGAGCCGCGTGCTTTTTTTTCAAACAGGGGGCAAGTGCAGGGAGGGTAAGGGGGGGGCAGAAAGCTAGGACCCTCCCTTTCTATCCGAGATGGCTGCAAGAGGCCAAAGCTGGGCGTGGGAATGGGTGAGGCGTCCTGCTCGGACAGCTCCTCCAATCGGCCCCCTTGCAGCGCCTGGGCAGCGCGCGCCAAGCAGCAGCAGGGAAGAAGAGGACATAGAAACCCCATGAGGACGAGAAGAGCTGGCCTGCTCTGTGCGGTACAGGCTTGGGAGGTTCAGATGCGCTTGCGAATGACATTCGCCTGCTTGCCAGAAAGCCCGCACCCAATCCTCCTGTCTTCCTCCTGCTGGTTCTCAATTTCCTCATCCTCCACCTCTTCCTCCTCTCCCTCCTCTTCCTCCTCCTCCCCCTCCTCCTCTCCCTCCTCTCTTTCCCGCGTCTCTTGATGATCCTCACCACGCGAACTCCACTGGAGGCCCGATCCTTTCCCCTCCCCCTTCTCCTCCACCCCGTCTTTGTCCTCCTCTCCCCCTTCCTCCTCCCGCGCCGCCTCGCCCCTGGTGTTTCCGCCGTCCCCTCCCGCACTTCTGCCCCCAGGGCCTGAGGGCCGCTTTCGGTTCACAACTCGGCTCTCCCGCGGCCGCTTTGTGGCGAGACGGGCAACCCTTGGGAGGCCCTCGACGAGGCGCAGCTGCTAGAACGCATCCCGAGGCTGGACAGCCGCCGAGAACCGACGAAGATCCCTGGAGACCTCGAAACCTGAACCCTCGCCGACGAGCTCACCCCCCTCGATGAGTCGATCCGCGCGTCTGCCCCACCCCCCCTTCTTCCCCCCCCCCCTTCTTTTCTTTGCCAAGTCATGAAGCGCACAGCGAAGACGTTTCAGGAGAGGCTGCCAGCTGAGGAGGACGATGGACGGTGGCCGCAATACTAAGGCCCCCCCCCTTCCTCCACCTCCCCGCCTCGCCCTTCTAGCCTCTCGCCTCCCCTTTCTCGCCCTCCGCTTCCTGCCGCTGCTCCTCTGCGTCCTGCCAGGCGGCCCCTCGGGGCGCTCGCCGCGGGTCGGCCGGAGGCGGCACACACGGGGAGGGAGGGAAAGGTGGCGACGTCCGCACCCCACGGACACCATTCATCAGGTCTCCTGGATCCGGGGAGCACGCGATGACATACACCCTGCGAAATGCTTAAGAAATCATGGGTTAAGAAATTCATAGTTTCAGAAATGGAATAAAACCCAGAACTTCTATCAACATCTTGGGATTTATATCGAAACGTTAAGAATAAGCGAGACTCTGGACGAAAACTTACGTTTTCTTAAGCATCGCCTAAGGTGTACACACGAAAGCTCGGAGCTCCGCGCGGATCCCTCGGACCGGCGCTGGCATTCTGCTGACAGCGCTGGAGTTCCGCTGCCGTTGGCGAGCTCCGGGGAAGGGTGTCCAGCGCCGAGGACCGCGATAGGTCTTCAGAACCCCCCCACCGAGTGAAAGCGAATTATTTTCGACACCGTCATTGACGAACTGGGGCCCACCGAAAATGGTAACAAATATTTCTCCGCGGTTCCGGCCGCACGACGACGACGACGACCATCACGACTATGACTACGATTAGGAGGACGACTACGACTACGATTGCGACTAAGACTACAATTACGACTACAACCACGACTGCGATTACGATTACAATTGCGACTACGATTGGGACTACGATTGCTACTGCAAACGCGACTACGATTACGACTACAACCATGACTACAATCATGACTACAGCCACAGCCTTTGATTCCTATTGCAATGTTCATGAGAAGATGCTCACACATCCTCTCGCGTGTGGGGTATGGATTACTCTGGGAAACAGAAACCCTCAACATGATTCAGCCCGCCCAACCATACAGGGAAACTGATCTCCGATGTGACGACGACGAGGACGAGGACGAGGACGACGACGATAACGACCACGACGACGACGCTAACGACCACGAAGAGGAGCAGGAGGAGAACGAGGAGAAGAATCAGGAGGAGAATGGGGGAGCAAGACGAGGAGAGGGGGGAGAAGGAGAAGGAGGAAGAGGAGGAGGATGAGGAGGGGCGGGTATGTTCCCTGCCGGGAGAAACAATGGGGGGATGCAAAACCAAAGACCTCCTGGGGTTACCAGAAATCAGCGCGGACCTTCGAAAACCCATGTTCATGTCATTGCTTGTTCCAGGATGCATCGATGGGCGGAGGGGGGCGAAGTCTGGGCTCAGACTTCGCAACGAGCTCGGCGAATTCTGACCCTACCCCGGCGGACCGTCGGATTGCCTCACAGGGATGAACCTAAACGCTGTTGTTCGTTTTCGAATTGTTTTCGTTTTCCCTCGTTTTGTATTCAATCCGCCTTCAAAACGAATTCGAAATGAAAACGGGGCCCACGAAATCAGCGAACGCACCGTTCAGGTCCAGCCCTGTATGCTGCCTCAGTCGTGGATCGGCGAGCGCGGGGTCCGGATTCCGCCGCCGGGAAGGGCGGCCAGGGCCGCCGCCGCCTCGGGGTCCAGCAGGCACACGGCGACGTGCGACGACGGCGCCTGGCACGCGCCGCTAAGCCCCGACAGACGGGCGCCCCCGCACGACGCGCCGGTGCGGCGCGCATCGCAGGCCAGGGAAGCGCCACCCCAGACACCCGGCGGCTGGTCTGTTTTTTGGTTGCCGTGGCCTCAAGCGGTGCTTGCGCCTGGTGATTCTGACTCTGCCTGTCTCAGCCACCGTGGGAAGCAAAAGGTACCCCCTCGCGATATCGATGGCACCTAGAATGCAATCGTCAGTCATGTTCGGCGGAGCCCTCTGAATGTTGCCGTTTACGCAGCAAAAGCACAAGCACAGACAAACAAAACATGATTACATATGTTCGCCGCTCGCCTGAGTCCTGGCCAACTGGGAAATGGGCTCACCGAAAGACATCTTGATGCAACTGGAAACTGAATCGGAATTTGTCGGATCCTCAAGTCGCCCCAAAGACCAAGAAAAAGCAGAGGCTCGACAGGGGATCCTGCGCGAAGTCTTCAACATGCAGTGGAAAGCTTGAGTGGGTGTCCCCCGTTTTCGCCACGTTGGCGCCCGTGCCTGCTTGTGGACGCCTCGTGGGCGCCTCGCGCGCTGGGCGGGTCTCCCGAGTCTCCGCGTTGGCGCCCTCGCTGGCGCCGCGTGGGCGCTTCGTGGGCGCCGCGTGCGCTGGGCGGGTCTTCCGAGGACTCGCCGCGTTGGCGGCCGTGCCCGCTCGCAGGCGCCTCGTAGGCGGCCCGTGCGCTGGGCGGGTGTCCCCAGAGAGGTGCTGCGTTCGCGCCCCCGCAGGCTCGCGGGCGCCTCGTGGTCGCCCCGTGCGCTGACACCACGCAGCCGACCCAACACAGTTTGCAGCACACTTCCTTCACTTCACGGCCTGCAAAGCATAGCTCGCACCACAAGGCTCACACCCCAGAGCTTACACGACGCAGCTTGCACCGCGGAGCGTTGCTCTGTTTAGGCTACGGCACACCGTTCACAGCACATACCATCTACATCATAACTCGCACCGGATCGCACAACTTACACGACATAGCTTAGACGAACAAGCACGGCTCACAGTAGATAGCCTGCACCACAACAAAACACTACAGCGCAGCGTAGCACAGCTCGAATCCAAACACTGGACAACCAAACCGGTTTGCAAGACAAGGTGTGTTTCCAGGATTGACAATGTGCTGGTTAATCTGAGTCGTGGTCTTCAGGGACCTTAACGGGCCATCTCGTCGGACGCCCGCACAATCGACATCGCCGCGAGTGGTTGCGTGATCAGCGACCACTAATTTCAAAGAACATGGCTGCCAATGTTGGACATGAATTGCCAACTCTCTGTCGATGTATTGACCATGATGAGCCACGTCGTTGTCGCAGAGTGGGGGAGGCTGGGAAGAGGCATGCTGCTCCTTGACAAATACCTTGCCCCGATTTGCGGCCGCCGCGATCGCCCCGGCGACCGCCCAAAACCGACCTTGGGGCATGGTTCGGGGCCAGATATCACGCAACGGGCGAGGCTCTCGTTGTCCGTCGCGCCGCCCATCCCACATGTCCCGGACGGAGCTGCAGTGGCGCCTTCTCTGGCGTTGACGCCGCCGCGCAAACCCTCCCGGCGAGCTCCAGACGTGTGGGGAGGGGTGCACCAGGCAGGAGGCGGGCCGTGAGTTAAACAGTTCCTGAAGTGTTCGGCTCTCGCCTGCACTTCTCCGCCATTTGCCTCCGCTTCCTGCCCTGTGCCTGCTTCGCTGTCCGCTTGCTGCCCTTGCTGCCCCTCACTCTCTTCCTCTCCCCCTCCCGCTTGGAACCAGCGCAGGCAGGGATGCCCGCGTACGGACGCGAGAGCCCAGCGCGCTGACCTGACCCTTCCCTCCCCCCTGTAGCCTCATCGTTCGTTTCCCCCTCTGTGCTTGTGTCCTCGTCGTCGCCTTTCGAATCTTGTGGGCTGGTGCGGGGCCACCTTGAGCTGAAGCCCAGATCCAGACCTCGGGGCGCTCTCGGATCCAGGCCTTTGGGCCCTCGGTGCTCCTGCATCCCTTCGTCCCCTTTCTCGGCCGCCCTGCGCGTCTCATGATGCGCCCCGCGCGTCCCGCATATTCCACGTGCTCGCTTCTGGCAGGCTGGCGCCTCCTCTTCCGAAGCCGTCGCAGCGTTGACGTCAGTGGCATCCGTCTCCTGTGCGGGATAGCTGGCCAGAGGGAGGGCGAGAGAAGCGGCGCAGAGGAGGCAGCAGGGCAACCCTTGGCACTGAGAGCGAGGGAGGAAAAGCCGAAATGGCGGTTGACTGCAACCACTGTTCCTGTTTTGGCAATTTTGCTGCCACGCTTCTGGGGGCGGGAGCATTCGCCTCCTCCTCCTCCTCACATTCCATGGTCACTCCTCCCTACCTAATCCGCCTCCGGCTCCTCCCCCTCAACCTCTTCGGCTCTTCATCTCTTCCCCTCCTGCTCACTCGCACTTTGTTTTTTATTGTTTCGTTCTTTCTTTCTGTTTTTGTATTCTCTCTCTCTGACCTCTAGATATATATATATATATATATAGAGAGATATAGAAGATGTCTATATCCGCTGGCACCCTCCGGGGGCGCAAGGCTGCGAAGGTGTGTGCGGTCTGCTGTCATGTGTGATGTGTTGTCATTTGTTGCTTGGCCTTTTGCCTCTCCAGTCCTGTTTCCTTCCTCCTGTTTACTGTCTGCTAGGGGGCCCCGCCGCGCCACCAAACAGCCAATGGGGGGGGCCTCGAATTGCGGCTGCTCCGGGCCACCCCAGGATTCTCATGGTGACGCAATCGCGAACGGCCCGAGAGGCCTCCAAGATTGCCCGAATTAGGCGGGGCGAACAGGGCCATCCAGAAGGTGGGCCGTCGAAAGGGTGCATGGAACGGCTTTCGGGGAGGCGTTCCAAGATTTCTGGAACGCCTTTCCGCCCAGCGTTCGGAGCAGTTCGGTCGCCTCGGCCCACGGCCCGCTACCGCGTCGACATGGAGACACCTCGAAACGGGATCAGGCCGCACGAGTGAAGCCAAATTGTCTGCGAGGGGCAGCCTTGGAATTGCTGTTCTGCCACCCTCTCTCCTTCTCGTCCTAGGTGTGCCCGTCGACCGCCGCGCCCTTTCTGTGGCGCCGAAGTGGCCACTTCGCCTGGTCTGCCCCGTGCACGCTCCCGTGCTGGCCCTCCCCCTGCCTCCGCCCACCGCGCAGCCCCTTGCCCCCTCCGCCGCCACCTCCCCTTTTCTCCCTTCACTCCCCTTTTCGCCGCGTCGTCGTCGTCGTCGTCGTCGTCGTCGTCGTCGCCCCGCGTCCCACACCAGTGTCGTTCAGCGCCTCACTGATGCTAGCCCGCTACTTACATCTGCCAACCGCGCCCATTTTCTCTCGCACTCTGCCTCCCTCATCCCTCCCCCCCCCCTCCCCCTCCCTTCCCCCAGCTCCCCTGTCCTATTTCGCCTTCCCCCGTCCCCTTCCCCTTCCCTCCCTCCATTTGCCCCTTTCTTCCAACCTCGTGCTCTCCCGCTCCCACCCCTCCCCATTCCCTCCGCCGCCAGCCCTTCCCGAACGCTGTTCCGGGAAGGCGCGCAGCCCTTCCCGAACGCTGTTCCGCGGAGGCCGAATGCAGGCCCCAAGTGGGCCATCCGTCCGGCTGATGCTCCGAGGCCCCAAGTGGGCCATCCACCCGGCTCCTGGAGGCCGCCCCCCCCGAGGCCCCAAGTGGGCCATCCATCCGGCTCATGCACGCCCCCGACCCTCGCACGCCCTGCGCGCAACCCCCTCGCCGCCCCCAGGCCCCAAGTGGGCCATCCACCCGGCTCATGGAACATCACACCGGGGCACCCAGTACCCCTGCACTGGTCCAGGGCCCCAAGTGGGCCATCCGTCCGGCTGATGCTCCGAGGCCCCAAGTGGGCCATCCACCCGGCTCATGGAACCCCTTCCCAGAGCTCCCTCGGAAAGGCGTTCCGCGCCTCGGGGGAAGGGTACTCGCGCGCCTGGCCGCCTTGGCTCCCGCGACCCAGGGCGCCCTTGCACCGATCCCAAACCACCCCGCCTCTCCCTCCCCTTCTCCTGCTCCCATGCCTCCCTCCATCCCTCCCTCCCGCCAGCATTCCTGCCCTCTCGCCCCGCACCTCGTCGTCCCTTTTCTCCCTTTTCGCCCCGCGTCGTCGTCGTCCTCCTCCTCCTCCTCCTCCTCCTCCTCACATGTCCTCATCCTTCCGCCCCCCCTCCTTCCTCCTCCATCATCCTCCGCAATCCTGCTCCCGCCCTCCTCCCTCATCGTCCTCCATGCTCATCCTTATGAACCTCCTTTTCCTCCTCCTCCCTCATTCATCCCATTATCACCTCTCCCTCCTCCTCCTTCTCCTCCTTCTCCTCCTCCTCCCCTCCTCCTCCCCCTTTTTTTGACAACCCAACGTCGAGGCGAGTGCACCGCGTCTAGAAGGGCAGCAGTACAGGTGTGGAGGACACTGAGAAAACATGAAGGGAGAAGAGATCGAAAGCCAGTGGGACCATTAAATACGCAAGAGAAGTGGAGACAGTCGAGAGGGCCCAGGGCTGTCTAGCTGGCAGGAGCTGATTCCAGCAAAGATGGTTGAGGGACGAGGTGAAAGTGGACGGCCGAGCCATCCGCAATCCCAGCTGTGATTTCTCGCACCACCGCGCTTCCATCCACCCGATGAACGGCCCACTTGTTCATCCACCCCCTGGATGGCCCAGTTCGCCCCCTCCAACCGAAGAGGCTCCGAAGAGAGCCTCAGGAGCCCAAGACGGCCCAAGATGGCTCCAAGATGTCACACGATGGCCCCAAGACGTCCCAAGATGCTGCCAAGACGGCCAAAGAGGCCTTCAAGAGGCCTCCCAACAGGGCCCCACGAAGCAGCAATCAACGATTTTCCTAACGTTCTTGAAGGTTTTTGGCCTCCTCGCCTTTTCGGCTTTCCGACGCTCCGAGACGGACTAAGAGGTTCCCAAGATCGCCCCACGACGGCCCTAGAAGCTCCCACGACGGCCCAAAAGACCCCCAAGACGGCCCCAAGACGGCCGAAGAGAGTCGCAAGACGGTCCAAGAGGCGCCCCAGACGGCCCAAAAGGGCCCTAAAACGGTCACAAGATAGGCCCAAGAGGGAGTCCACGCACCGAAAACTCAACCTTTCCGCCTGAGAGGGCCCCAGGAGGCCCCCGAAAGGCCCCAAAGAGGCCCCAAGAGGCCCCCGAGAGGCCCCAAAGAGGCCCCAAAGAGACCCCCAGGAGACCCCAAATATGCCCCAGGAGGCTCCAAAACGGCTTCCAAGAAGATCCAACAATGACCCACCCACGGCACTACCCACGCAGCCGCACGCACAAATAATAGGAGGGCCAGCAGCAGAGGGCGAAGCCCTTCAGATCCGGCCGCTCCCGCCCGGCGGGTTGGGCCGTGCGAGACCTCTCTGACACAGTGTCTGGCACAGTCTTTGGCCCCCTTCTCCAGTGCCTGGTCAAAAACCTCCCTGAAGTCCCTCCGAGGGGGCCCCACTCTGCCGCCGGCCCCACTCTGCCGCCGGCCCCCTTCAAGGTCTCAAACGGCCCGGGGACGACCCAAGGGCGCCCCAAGCCGGTCCAAGAGAGTCCCGAGCAGTCCAAGAGAGCCTCCAGACGGTTCCAGATCGCTCCAAGACGCCTAAGATGGCCTCCAGACGGCCCAAGACGCCTCCAAGACGGCCCAAGAGGGCTCCAAGAGCACCCCCAAGACAGCCCCGAGAAGCAAAAATCATTGATTTTTCAATGGTTTTTGAAGGATTTTCACGTTCACGCCATTTCGGCTTACCCACGCTCCACGACGGCCCATGAGGCCCCCAAGATCGCCCCAGGACGGCCCAACAGGCCCCCAAGACGGCCCCAAGACGGCCCAAGAGGGCCCCAAGACCGCCCAAGAGGCCCCCGGGACGGCCCAAGAGGGGCCCCAGGATGGCCCCAAGAGGAGGCCCAGGAGGGGAGCCCGAATGAACATGTCGAGTTTTCGGCTCAAGAGGCCCCCAGGAGGCCCTAAGAGGCCCCCTGGAGGCCCCCAACAAACACCAAAAGAGCCCCAAGAGGCCCCAAGAGGGCCCCCAGAGGTCTCCAAGAAGCCCCGGGGACGCCCCCAAGAGGCCCCTAAACTGCCCCGCAGAAGCCCCCGAGAGCTGTCCGAAGAGACTCCTGCAAGCGTCCATGAGGACTCTGAGCCACAACCCAGGCAAGGTGGCGGGATCACTCCCAGACGCCGAAGATGGCCTCTAGAGGCCCTCACGCGCCTTCAAGGCGTCCAAAAAAACTTCAAAGGCCCCCAAGAGGGCCCGAAGCAGTTCCCAAGAAGCTTCCAGGAGGCTCCCCAGAGGCTCCTAAAATGCTCCGCAGAGGCTCCCGAGAGCTGTCCGAAGAGACTCCTACAAGCGTCTATGAGGACTCTGACCCACAACCCAGGCAAGGTGGCGGGATCACTCCAAGACGCCGACAAACTCCCAGGGAGCGGCCGGTGATGCGCCGCCGGCGTCCTTGATCCGGCCGCTCCCGCCCTGCGCGTTGGGCCGTGCGAGACCTCTCTGACACAGTGCCTGGCACAGTTCTTGGCCCCCTTCTCCAGTGCCTGGTCAAAAACCTCCCTGAAGTCCCTCCGAGGGGGCCCCACTCTGCCGCCGGCCCCACTCTGCCGCCGGCCCCCTTCAAGGTCTCAAACGGCCCGGGGACGACCCAAGGGCGCCCCAAGCCGGTCCAAGAGAGTCCCGAGCAGTCCAAGAGAGCCTCCAGACGGTTCCAGATCGCTCCAAGACGCCCAAGATGGCCTCCAGACGGCCCAAGACGCCTCCAAGACGGCCCAAGAGGGCTCCAAGAGCACCCCCAAGACAGCCCCGAGAAGCAAAAATCATTGATTTTTCAATGGTTTTTGAAGGATTTTCACGTTCACGCCATTTCGGCTTACCCACGCTCCACGACGGCCCAAGAGGCCCCCAAGATCGCCCCAGGACGGCCCAACAGGCCCCCAAGACGGCCCCAAGACGGCCCAAGAGGGCCCCCAGACCGCCCAAGAGGCCCCCGGGACGGCCCAAGAGGGGCCCCAGGATGGCCCCAAGAGGAGGCCCAGAAGGGGAACCCGAATGAACATTTCGAGCTTTCGGCTCAAGAGGCCCCCAGGAGGCCCTAAGAGGCCCCCTGGGGGCCCCCAACAAACCCAAAGAGAGCCCCAAGAGGCCCCAAGAGGGCCCCCAGAGGTCTCCAAGAAGCCCCTGGGACGCCCCCAAGAGGCCCCTGGAGCGTCACGACGTTCGATGCTGCGCACCACTTCGACAAACTCCCAAGGAGCGGCCGGTGATGCGCCGCCGGCGTCCTCGATCCGGCCGCTCCCGCCCGGCGGGTTGGGCCGTGCGAGACCTCTCTGACAGAGCGTTTGGCGCAATCTTTGGCCCCCTTCGCCAGTGCCTGGTCAAAAACCTCCCTGAAGTCCCTCCGAGGGGGCCCCACTCTGCCGCTGGACCCCCCTCCCCTGGGGCCTTTGAAGGTCCGGAACAGCCCGGGGACGACCCAAGAGCGCCCCAAGCCGGTCCAAGCGAGTCCCAAGACGGTCCAAGAGAGCCTGCAGACGCTCCAGATCGCTGCAAGAGGCCCAAAATTGCTTCCAAACGTCCCAAAACGCATCCAAGACGGCCCAAGAGACCTCCAAGAGCAGCCCCAAGAGAGCCCCAAGAGACACAAATCATTGATTGTTCGATGGTTTTGAAGGATTGTCGCGTGCTCGCCATCTCGGCTTGCCGACGCTCCAAGACGGCCCAAGAGGCCCCCGAGATCGCTCCAAAACGGCCCAACAAGCCTCCAAGAGGGCTCCAAGACAGCCCAAGAGGGCCCCAAGACGGCCCAAGGGGCCCCCAGAACGGCCCACGAGGGGCCCCAGGACGGCCCCACGAGGGCGCCCAGAAGATCAACCCGAATGAACATTTTGAGCTTTCGGTCCCAAGAGGCCCCCAGGAGGCTCTAAGAGGCACCTAGGAGGCCCCCAAGAGGCCCCAAGAGACCCAAGAGGCCCCAAGAGAGCCCCAAGAGGCTCCCACTCCCCCGCAGAGGCCCCCGAGAGCCATCTCGAGAGACCCCAGGAAGCGTCCACGAGGACTCCGACCCAAAACCCAAGCTCGGTGGCGGGATGGGCCGACGGCGATTTGATAGCTGGCATACGCTCCGCGTCACGACATTCGATGCTGCGCGCCACTTCGACAAACTCCCAGGGAGCGGCCGGTGATGCGCCGCCGGCGTCCTCGATATATGTCATGTATACTATATGTATGTGTATGTTTGTTGTTTAACAAAATATTCCCTTCCTTCTGCCTCTAGCGACGAGGGCCCAACGCTCGCCCAGCCACCGCGACGGAGCCCATCACCCGCTTGTCCAGCAGCTGCTTCAAAGCGAATGGGAGCATAGAAAGGCAGAGGGATGGAGAAAGGGAAGGAGGAGCTGAAGGGGGAAATTGGAAACTGAGGGGTAATCAGGGGGGCAGGGAGGAGGAGGAGGAGGAAGAGGAAGAGGAGGAGGTGATAGACAGGGAAAGAGACGAGAACGAATGCTGGGCATTGCGCGTGGTCTCACTCGCCAGACTTGCACTCGAACATGCACTGCGCCCATACACGTACCTCGCATACCTCGCACATACACGTACGGCACTACGTGAGGCGACTATTGCCGCGCACCTTGCGGCTTTTTCCTCTCATCCTGCACCGCACCACACATTGGAGAGCTCTCAGGTCCCTTGTAGCCATCAATCCTCAGTCCTGGGATTGAGCATCAAGGGCCCCAGACTCAAAATTCTCAAATCTTCCAGGGTCTCTGGCATGCCCCCCGCCGTTCCCCGGCGCTTCATGCACACGGCCGATTCGTGTCGTCCCGACTTGCGTCGAATTCAGCGCTGGTTTCTGACACCGCGGGGATCGTTCTAAATTGAACGATCCGCCGTTTCCCAAACGTCAGATCTTCCAACATCGAGAGGAGGAGGCGGAGGAGGCGGAGGAGGAGGAGGAGGAGGAGGAGGAGCCGAGTCGCGGGCAGCGTTCAACGTTGAACGCCGGCGGCGGGGTCACCGCTCGTCGACACGACCCGAACCTGTCGTCGCCTGCTCGGAGCCGCGAGGTGGTGCCAAAACAGGCCAAGAGGGCCTCGAGAGGGCTTTGACCTACCACCCAGGCTAGGCACAGGCATTCGACAGGTGGATGCTCCAGAGGCTTCAGATAACGACGAGGGGCTTCGAGGACGAGGCAATCGACAGGAGGAGGAGGAGTAGGAGGAGGAGGAGGAGGAGGAGGAAAAGGAGGAGGATCAAGAGGAGGAGAACGGGGAGGCGAAGGGCAGCACGGAACAAAGACAACATGTCGCCATATCACCACCACGCGCTTGCCAGCTTCCGCAACGCTCCCGCGCCTCGGCCGCACCGCTCCAAGGACGTGCTCTGAACGGAGGCCTGATGCGCTTGCCTTTCCCGCGCACGTCAACCGAGGCTGGTGCACACTGGAACGCCTCTGGGCCAACCCACCTGAGTCTGGTGCCCCCCTCTTTCTATTTCTCTCAACCTCCTCCTCCTCCTCCTCCTCCTGCTCCTCCTCATGATCCTCATCATCATGATCATGCTCCTTCCTCCGCCTCCTCCTCTTCGTTTGCCTACTTCTCCTCCTCCTCCTCCTCCTCCTGATCCCCCTCCTCCTTCTCCAGCTCCTCCTCCTCCTCCTCCTCGTCGTTTTCTCCTCCTCCCCTCATGCCTCGTCCTTTTTCCTCCTCGTTTCCTCCTCCTCCTCCTGCTCCTCCTGCTCCTGCTCCTGCTCCTGCTCCTGCTCCTGCTCCTGCTCCTGCTCCTGCTCCTGCTCCTGCTCCTGCTCCTGCTCCTGCTCCTCCTCCTCCTCCTCCTCCTCCTCTATCCCGCCTTATAGGCCCAGAAAGAAGAGCCCCGACCCCCAAAGCCGTGATGTTCCCTCAGAGGCCCCGACCCCCACCCCACCAAGCCGGCTTTTCACCCCGCAGGGCCGCCCCTGGCGGCCCCGCCAGGGGGAGGCCGAAGACGAGGCGAGCACACCCGGGGCAGGAGGTCCTCGTTGGCGCTGGCCGCCCCCTCCTCGTCAAGGTCCGGGAGGAACAGCGTTTCCATGTCTCCTGGGCACGCCTCCCCCCCACACACAACAAAAACAATATTTACAGCACATCGAGGAAACACGGGCGGAGCCCCATGGACCTGCACTTCCTGCGGCATTCTTCGGGCCCAGATGCACACGTGAGGGGTCCCGGGGGACCCAGGCCCAGCCCTCCGACGATGTGGCTGTCTCAACGTGCGGTCCCAGGAAAGCCCAGAACCGTCTTCTGCACTTAGCTTTCGAACCATCCAGATACCGGGCCCTGGGAGGCCGAAATCGAGGAAACCGTCAGCACTGACGAAATCAGATCGTCGAAGATATTGGATTCGGGCGACATCGCCCGTCGTGGAAAACCTTCGGCGCCAGGCTCTCACTTGGGGGCGGAAGGCGAAGGGGAAGGGAAGGGGGCCCAAACGGAGGCACCCACGCGGAGCGCTCGCGCTCGGCGATACACGCAGGGCGGCCAAGAGGGGAGTGGGAAGAGGAGGGGGACGCGATTGCTTTTCACTTCACCGGGAAGGGCAATCAGTTTTGGGGAAGAAGAAGAAGTGGGAAAATGAAAGAACACGACGCCTCACAAGGTACCACCGTGCACTCCGAGACAGCTTGCGGCAAGGCTGGCATTAGGCTGTATTTCAAACCCAGCCTGGCTCGAAAAGAGGAGCAGCGCGAGGAGGAGAAGGAAACAGGGGAGGGCCACAATTGCTGTTCTCTGCGCAGTCTACCTTCGATTTTACAAGGCAGAGCAGCGGTTAGCAGGGAAGGGGGGGTCCGCCCGCTCCCGTATGGGGCCATCAGACTGCGCGGCTTAGGTTTCCTGCTCCCTCTGCCACTTCCAGCGTTAAGTCTCACATATTATCATATGAGTTTCTGCTTCCTATTGTAGATTGTTGCTGTCCACGCCAAGGAGAGAGGAACGGGGGGGGGGGGGGGGCGAACATCAGTCTGGCCACCGACCCCGGCGAACACCAGCCTGGCCACCGACCCCCCTGGGGTTCTCAGAATTCCCTGGGGGGGAGGGCCAACGACACCTGAAACTGCCAGAGACTCCCGCTCCCGAGGCAATACTATCTCGTAGAGTGTGCGAGGCTCACGATACCGAGGCCGGAACTTCAACCACAACGGTCTCGCGCTCCCGAGGCCATAAAATTTGGCAAGTTGCCCCAAACTCGCGCAAGCACGCCGGCTTTGGGCTCCCGCGGCCACAATCCCATGCAGAGTGCACTAGGTCCGCCCGGGGCCAGAACCCCTTGCACATTGCATCGGGATCGCGCTCCCGGGGGCAGAATCCTCAGACAGTTGCGGTGGGCTCGCGCTCCCGAGGGCCGAATCCTCTTGAAAAGGACGCTTGGCTCGCGCTCCCGAGGGCCAGGGTCCCGTGGCAGTGGCGCCAGACTCGCACCCCCGAAGCCAAGAATCCCGTACACAAGTCGCGCCCGGGTCGCGCTCCCGAGGCCCAGGAGCCTGGACTCCCGGGAGGAGCAGGAGGAGGAGGAGGAGAAGGAGGAGGAGAAACAGGAGGAGAAGCAGTGGGAGGAGGAGAAAGAAGAGAAGGAGGAGGAGAAACAGGAGGAGAAGCAGTGGGAGGAGGAGGAAGAGGGCGAGGAGGAGAAGGAACAGGAGGAGGAGGAGGACCAGTGTAAACCAAAGACTCGTCAACCAGGACCAGTGTTTCGCGCTCCCGGGGACTGCCTCAAACATGCAACCAAGCGGTTCAGAATAGCCCCAACGTGTCAATATGTTCTGGTGCGTCCGATCCGTCCCCGCATGATCTTCGCAAATGTCTTCAGGACGGCGCCCAGACTCCCCGACACGGCCCTGATAGCTTCCATTCTGATAGAGAGGGGGCTGGCTGCAGAGGTCGAAGCCCTTACAAATGAGTGTACAGCGTTACTGCTGACGTTACAGCCGCTCTCTCCCATGCTCGCCACCCTGAACCATACCCTATGAAGAAGAAGAAACAGAAGAAGAAGCAGAAGAAGAAGAAGAAACGCAACAAAAACAACGAAACTGTCGGATGTCCGCGCGGATTTCCCAGATCGGCGCTGGACCCTCCTCCCTGGAGCGCGGAACGCGCAGAAGGCAGCGCCACGAAGGAGCTCCGGAACCGATCCGAATACTTCGCGCGGATATCGTGATGTTGCAAATGTAATTAAAGAACCGGAATTTCTACACCGATGCTTTGTTTTCCGGTCCCGCATTGAGATTCGCACAAGAAAACGGATTCTGGTGTATGCGGCATCCTGGTGCATACATGGTTGTTGCTTTCACGGGAAAACGGGGATAGAAGTATACACCACACCACCCCGACGTCGTCCCCGACCCGCAAGAAAGTCCTGGGATTGAACAACAGCCTGCCACTGGTAATGTATATGTTCCAGTTTCCGACTAAGGATGAAGCGCACAGAAGAGCGAAAAGTGCGACCGAGTTAAACTAATCACAGTACACGGAGGGATTAGGAACGACCATCCGATGGGAACTTAACCCTCGGGCTCGTCATCTGGCAGAAGGGGGTCGCCCGAGCCGCGACAGACCGCTCACGGGCCCCATCCACAACCCAGGCACCCAGGGAAACAGCTTCCTCCCAGGAGAGCCGAAACAGCGCCAGACCTCGTTGGTAACCTCCCGAAGACCGGGGACTACGGGACTACGGGACCCAGGCGAAGTCTGAAGCACAAGGCTCGACTTCGGGATCGAGGCTCGAGGCGCGGAGGTCGAAGCTCGAGGCTCGCTCGAGGATCGAGGCGCGAGGGTCGAGGCTCGTGAGTTCCAGGACAGAGGCGCGGGGGTCGAGGCTCGACGCTCGAGCCCAATTCCAAGATCAAGGCTCGACGCGCGAGGGTCGAGGCTCGAGGACTCCAGGACCCAGGCTCGAGGCTCGAGGGTCGAGGATGGAGAATCGAAGATAGAGGCTCGAAGATCGAGGCTCGCGGCACGAAATCGAGGCTCGAGACTCGGGCCTCGGAGATAGAAGCTCGAGGATCGATGCTCGAGGATCGGGGCTCTATGCTCGAAGCTTGGGGATCGAGGATCAAGGCAGCCCGAGGCTGCTGTCCGAGGCCAGACTGGACACACACACACAAACACACACACACACACATCCACACACACGTAAGCCGCCTGGGGAGCCCATGCGATCGTCGACGTGAGTTCTGGGCCCCCCTTGGGGGCCCGAGAGCGCACGTGGAGCTGGACGTGCTCGCGGCCAGGTCCCCACACTGGACCGCACGGAGGCCGCGCGCGGGGCACTCGCGCGGACGGCCTGCGCACACCTCACCGAGAGGAGGCCGAGCGCTTGAAGGGCATGCGGCCACGAGCGCATCCAGCTGTCCGGCTCTCACCCCGGCCCGCCGCGCCGTGCTTTCATCCGGCCGCCTGGCACATGCCCACCGCCTGGGGGCCCGATACCCCGTGGGCCCCAGGAGGCAGTGAAAGTGTGCCTTCCCAGAAGTCCCCACAGATCCCGAGGAACGCTGACAGGCGGGACAGGGGTGGGGAGCACGGCCACTCGTCGGCGGTGGACGGACCTTCCTTTAGAAAAACCTCCCCTTCGTGAAATCTGGCCTGGGACCGAGACCGACGGACCTGGGCCCGCAAAAAACACAGCCGCGACGCCCTCTCGCGAGCCGAAAACGGCCAATTCGCTAATCGACGTGTCAGGGTCGGAGGTCTGTCCCCCCCGCCCCCAAAAAAAATTGCACTTGTGACAAGCGATCGTGACCGTCTGGGCCACATGTGTAGCCGACCAGCGCTGAGGCGATCACACGATTCCGGAAGTCGGGTAAGATAGCTGCTGCCTTCATGGAACTCGTCCCCCCTGTGGAACTCTTCCGTGGCCCTCATTGGCAGAACTCTTTCTCGCAACGCTACGAAGGACAGCAGGGCTGAACCTAAACGGTGTGTTTCGTTTTCGTTTTGTTTTCGTGTTCCCTCGTTTTGTCTTCAGTGCGCCTTTACAGCAAAACGAAATGGGAACGACAACGGCCAACGAAATCGCCAAAACACCGTAGGTCCGGCCCTGAAGGAAAGTGCACCCTTGGCGGCAGAATAAAACTAAACAGTTCGTCGGAGCACTGAACACATCACTGTGGCCAACACTGTGGAGTGGGAAGGCTAGCGCAGTGCTCTCCAAAGAACACTCGTAAAACGGCGTTGGTAACGGGACGGGGAGCCATACGGGAAACCATACGAGAGACTGCACGGGAAATCGTACCAGGGACGATACGGGAGACCAGACGTCGGCCCATACACCATACTAGAGACCATACGGCAAACCAACCGGGAAACCACGGGCCACCGATTCTGGATCCGAAGGGGCCCCCTCGCAGCCTTGGACAGCATATAAACATGTATATGTATACGTATGCATATATATATATAGAGATAGATATATGCACACTTACGTAGAAATATGTCCCATAGAGACAAGCTGTTGAAGAACGTGAGCCCGTTCGCCGAAGGCCAAAGGTCCCATGCTGGTGCGCCAAGCGAGGCTCCGAGGCAGGGGGCCCAAACACTGAGAGCTGAAGGCCCCCCCCCCCCACGGACGGGCTCCCCGATTGTCGAGGCCGCCCTCATGTTACCAGCGCTCGCACTCCCGCGGAACGTCACCCAAACCCCGCCGTTCTGCGGCACGCCTCGGGCTGCATCGGGCGAGCTCGCCCGGCATGATGCGACGCCAAAGCCGAACGGTACCGACGCTCCCAGAAGGCACTCTCTCGGAAGCCATGCGACTTGGTGGACCCCCCCCTCGGCTGGGGGCTCCGTCGCCATCGTCCAGCCGCGGCTCCGTCGCGGCCTTACGATCTTCTTTTTCAGCGGGGCGGGTGCGCGCGAGCAGATGCGTGGCGCGGCGGCATTCCCTCAATCGCTGTCGGAAAGGTGCGACCTGAACGGAAGTGGCCCTGCCGTCTTCTCCCTCGTCTGCGTCTGTTCCTCCTTCGTCCAAAGCGTGAGCTGGCAGCGTGTCGAAACGCAGTGCAGACGGAACACGAACAGGAGCGGAGCGGGCGGACAGGAACACAACAAGGAGCTACAACGGAACAACAACTGTTCACTCAACCCCCCGAGGCGGCCGTTTCAGTCGAGGGACACGGGTGAGAGCCTGGGCGCGGGCATCGGCGGCGTGTCACCCGACGGCCTCGCGCCCCTGGAGGACGAGGAGGGCTTGGAGGCCGTGGAGCACGTGCTGGACGACGAGAAAACGGACAAACGAGGGCGAAGGGGGGGGGGGGGTCAAGCTTGCACCCGTCGAAGACGGCACCGCTTCTTCCGCTCCGGCCGTCTCCTCCGACAGCGACTGAGAGGCGCAATGTGCCCCTGCCTTGCCTGCCCGAGACGATCGAGCGCCTACGGGGAGATCGATACGGACGAGACAACGTAACGACGATCTCAAATAAAAAGAAGCACGACGCGCATCCAGTAGTGGAAACGGAGAAAGAGACGCTGCTAGATCTCAACAAAACAATAATAAAAACAATCAAACACTCAAAAAGACCGTGACACCCCAAAACGGGAACAAACGCCAGGGCCGTTTGAAGAGACCTAGAAGATCGCGGGTGGGTCGCAGGTGAGCCGCGGGGCGGTCGCTGGGCAGGTCGCAGGTGGGTCGTGGGTGGGTCGCGGGGCCGGGCGCAAGCGGGCCTATTTGGGACAACGATCTGCACCGCATCACCCCACTGCAACCACTCACTGGTCGACAGTGTAAGACCGCTCGGCCCCATCACCCTTACGTCAGGCTGCACATTAACGGGAGATGGCGCCACATTAGGCTACGCACTAATCCAGATCAAGCCTGTTGAAGCCATTAAGTAGACAACTAGACAGTCGAACTGGTCCACACCGAACACATAGCCAGGGCCGGTGGTCGATTCAATCTCCACAGAGCTACCGCCACAGAAGTCGGAGGGAGAACACTCCTCGTCTCCTTCGTCCTCCCGACCGCGAGGGGAAAGGCGCCCTCGAGCTCCGCACACCGTCAACGCCTGCCAATACTTGTCGGAGCGAGAGCCGTCATGGGTTTACACTGCCCCTGGAACCCCGCGGCGGTGCTGACAGCCACCGTGGGCTTCACGAGGGGCGGAGCGAACGGAGCGTACGCAGACGGCAAGGTGGACAGCCCTGGACGAGTGTCCGTGTCCGCGCCCCGCCTTGCAGCAGCAGTATTTTCTGCAGACTTCAGATGCTGCTGCAGCTAGCGCAACACTGGAGCAACAAGTGGCAGCACGAACAACACACTAGCAGCAACATTAGAATAAGCAAGCGTCGCGGTGTACAAAACCAGTACGAGTCGCTGGAATCATCCCAGGTGTGCACGGCATACACATATACAGACAATGTGTAGAAGGGCTGGGGCATCCGCAACAATATAAGTAAGCGAAAGGCCAAGACCACCTGTAGCACCACGAGGAAGCGCAGGACTAGGAAACACACAACTAAACAATATACGATCTGCTGCCTGCACAGGGCTCCGCAGCATCTGCTGCTGCTCCTGAGACTGGATGTAATCGTGGATGAGCAAGCTCTCCTGACAACGCGACGTACACTTAGCATAACCACAAGTTGCCAGTCACTCTGTTGCATACTCCGTCCACGATCGCTCCCTCTTCCCCGCACCCCCCTTCCCTGTTCAGCCTGCTGCTGAAACTGCCGCTGATGATGCTGGTGATGCTAGTGCTGCGGCTCCTCCTCATCGTCATCATTATCATCATCAGACTGCTGATCCTGCCCCCATCGCCCCTCTTCCCTCCTCCTATTCCGCCTCCTCCTCCCCCTCAACCTCACCTTCCCTCAGAGGAGAAACATATACCGATATCGCTATCCTTTCCTCGTCGTCACTTCTGCAAACGCCCCGAACCCCTCGCAAACTCCCAAAGGACCAAGGAACAGTTCAATTGGATCCGTCATGCTCGACCAGCCCTTTCTCTCCGACTCTTGCAAGCCATTCCATAAGAAAACGAACTCTACACACCGACGTTTTTACCGACCCTGCGCTGAAATTCGCACAGGAACGCGGATTCTGGTGTATCCGGGAGCCTGGTGTATACATGTTTCGTTATTTCCCTGGGACAACGGGAAAAAGTATACGCCACACCACCCCGACGTCGTCCCCGACCCTCAAAAAAGTCCTGGGATTGAAAAGCCGCCCGCCACTGGTAGTGTCTATGTTTCAGTTTCCGATCTCAACCTCCTGGCCCACCCCCTGCGTCGCCCTCCGATTCAAGAAAGGGGAAGCGTGGCTCCAGCTGCACTGCCGGCAAGTCCGGTCCCGTCGGCGTGCCTGCCGGAGCTGCCGCGCCTCGCGGTGCCTTCGTGGAGAGCAGGCGCACATCGAAGCAGACGTGGGCAGACCAGCGCCAGTGTCCCGCAGCACCGGTCGGTGCACTGGAAAAATCCCCGTTCCGAGGCGGCCAGGCGGTCCATACTGGATTCCTAGAGAGGACCTCTATCGAGAGGGGGTGATGAAGGCAAATTCGCTCAGAGTCTGCCCCCAGACGCCTCCAGGGGTCGAAACAGATGAATGTTCTGGGTCGCGTCCACGAGTGGCGACGAGGGGGCCGCTTTCCTCGCCCCTCTGTTGGCCGGATCCAATGCTGGGCCACCTCAGCCCCCCAGCCGGCTCAAAATCCCCACCACCCTCAGGGAAACCTTGGCCCGGCTTGCCGACCAGCCCCCCCCCCCTGGGCGGGAACAGATGCCGTCTCCCTCGGGCTGCGAATCACCTTTCCCGGTCGTGATGGGCATCAAAAGTCTGGCCCCCCATGCAACTGTGGCCCTGCGGGAGCTGCAGTCGTGCAACAAGTCCGTCCTTCCCCGTCCTCGCGCAGCACAGTGCATCCCGTTGTCGTGGGCTCCGCCTAGGGCCTGGCAGCCGTCCAGAGCCCGATCCACTTTCTCAAACCAGCTTTGCCTGAGGGGGTCCTCCTGTTCCAGGTGCCAGGGAACTGGTGGCCCCAGACTGTTGGCGAATGCTATCCCTTTCGCCGAGACCTTGGGGGTTGCTCGGGGGGTCCTCGGGGTGTCTTGGATTGTTGCTGGGGTTCTCGGGGATTCGTCAGGAAATACTCGGGGCTCCCTTGGGGCTCATTGCTTCGCATTATTACACGTTGCTTCCATTGCTGTGGTGTGCGCTTCATTGCTTGCACTGCTAGGCGCGCAACTTCCAATCGTTATTTCGTTCGTTGTTTTGCTTCGAACTGCGCTGGCGAGCTCTACGCTGGTTGCATGGCTTTGCTTGACACGGGTCCCCACTGCTTTATAAACTATCATGTGCACTGCGTTGCCTTGCACTGGCGCGAATTACTTGCATTGATTGATATGGTTTTGATGTGCAGTGTCTCGCTGTACCGTGATGTGCAGATCCTTGCATTGAATTGCTGCGCTTTGCATCGAATTGTGTTCGTGTGCATTGCACGGCATTGCGTTGCAATGCATTGCGTCGCATTGCGTTGGTTCGCACTCATTGTTCGTTGCTCCACTGTTCGTCGCATTACCTTGCAGGATAGTAATTGCGTGGCCATGCCTCGCGCTGCTTCAAACAGGCTGACGCTGTTGCTGCACTGTAAGTATTGTGTTGGCGTCATCTTATGTCTTCCACGGAATATTATCTTTGATGCTCTCCGCCCACATGCCTCTCCGCGGCCTTCCCCTGCTTCCCCCATTGCACAGGCTTGCCATTACCTACTTTCACGGCCCGTTCTAGCCCGACCGCGTTGGGCCACACAACGGTGCGGCAAAAGAGCACTTGGTTCGTGCGGCGTCGTCACGCGCAAAGGTTTTTAACACTGCTTCGATCGTTCAACCTTGAATCGATCGATCGCAACCCCGATCGTTCAAGGTTGACTTATGTCGGGTCCTGTGGCGAGCCGTGCCCCTCAATGCTTCCGCGTCGTTCTATCATGGGGTGCTTGAGCTTGAAAGACTTCGCTGGCGTCGCCGGAGCGCCTATCCTGGCGAGGGCCCAATCATATGAAACTGTGGGTACTGAAAGACTGAGAAACATCTTCGGTGGAACTCCCTGCCACGAAACATGTGAGGGGTGTACCAGCATGGGTGGAGAGCCGCCTGCGAACCCTGCCAATGAGGCCTATGAGGCCACGAACCGTGTCAGGGGTGTGCCCAAATAGGCGGGGAGCCCCATGCGAGGACGACCACTGGGGCCTCAAGTGGAGCTCTCCCTGCGAGGCCACGAAGCGAGTGACAGGTGTCCCGAAATGGGTGGGGAGCCGAATGCAAGGACGTCCACTGGGGCCTCAAGTGGAGCTCCGTATGGGGTCACGAAGCGTGCGAGTGGTGTGCCGAAATGGGCGGGAGCCTCATGTCAGGACGGCCACCGGGGCCTCAGGTGGGCGGGGAGCCGAATGCGAGGACGTGCACTGGGGCCTCAAGTGGAGCTCCGTATGGGGTCACGGGTCACGAAGCGTGTAAGGGGTGTGCCGAAATGGGCGGGGAGCCCCATGTCAGGACGGCCACCGGGGCCTCAGGTGGAGTTCCGTATGGGGCCGCGACGCGTGCGAAGGGTGTGCCGAAATGGTCGTGCGGGGAGCTGTCTCTTCAAAACGAGGACCCGACACTACACAACGATTCAGAAGGAACACGTGCTTGTCCGATGCGCACGGCTACCCAGAACTCTCGGCCTCCTCCAGGGTCCGGCGTCCGTGACGGCCGCGGAGGCGCCGATTGGCACGGCACCCGCACTGACTGTCCACGCGGAGAAGAAAACTCAGCAGGACGCTGCTCAGGACAGGTGCAGAGTGCAGATGCTATTGGCGCCCGGTTACCCCGGGCCTCGAAAGCAAACATGTCGATGTTGTCGAGGATGCAGAGTCCCTCGGACGACGGCGTGCCTGCCCCACCGCCGCCGAAGAGCACAGATAACAACAGTGGAGACTAAGGGGATGCATGCATAGACCACGGTTAAGCGTGAGAGCCTGGGAACCGCACGCAATCAAGGCAGCTGACCCCTTCCGAAGAAAACGCGGTGAGCGCAGGCAGAGTGGGCCAGTGGCTCAGCGGGAAGCGAGTAGTATCGGAAGAACTTCCTGACATCCCAAAGCAAATGCTCGGTGAAAGCAAAAAGATAAGATAGCCTGTGAGGCTAGGACTAATCTTACAACTTTTTCTTCCCGCGCCACAACAGTCTGGGGAAGCCGAAAGATACCGATACCACTACTCCCCGGACCTCTCCCAGGGCGCGTTCGGACAAGACTTTCGAGGCGAATCCAGCAGTGGCGACGAGATCCTCCCAGGAAGCCCCAAAAAAGGAAAACGAGGGGAGGGTAGCGGTATAGGTACCGTTTCCTCTTCTGACACTTGGTTCCGCAAGGCCGGTGTCTCATCCCAAGCCCTGGCTGACAGCCAGGGAGCCCAAAGGCCGCCACATGCGGCCTAGAGCGGTGGCCACAGACCCCGCCCGACATCTCCAAGCCGCTCGGCGCCTGGAAGTGCGCAAGGGTTGGGCAGCGCGGCGCGTCGCGCCAGCCCCCCATCGCCACGGCGGTCGCAGTCGCCATCGCCGTCGCCGCCGTCGCTTCCAGCGCTGTCGCCGTCGCCATCGTCGTCGTTGCCGCCGCCAACGTCTTCGTCGGCGACTTCGCCGGCGCCGTCGCCGTCGCAGACTTCGTGGCCGTTGCCATCGCCACCGTCGTCGTCGACGTCTTTGTCGCCGCCGCCCTCGCCGTCGCCGACGCCATGGTCCAGCCGCAAAATTCTCACGAGCAAAACTTGCTTCTGACTGTGCAGGCAGCCGGCTCTTGAAAGACGACGCACAATGAGTCTGCGATTCAGGCGAGAGCCCTGTGCAGGAAAAAAGGTCTGACTGCGAAAGAAATAGCAAAATCCAACTTGCAGACGTGTTTCTAGAAGCCACGTGTTGAAAAACCTCCGCCCTCCATGCGTGCAGATGCTACACTAGCTTAGATGTCTGGCCAGACAAGCAAAGGGCATCTCAAGAGAGAGCCCCATTTGGGAAAACATCCGCCATCCACCGTGCGATCGCTACACGACTTGAAAACATCTGGCCATATAAATTGAGAGTATCAAGCGAAGACGATGTTGATTAAAACGTCGCCCGCCATCCGCGTAACGGCTGAACTGCTTGGGAAGAGTGCGTGCGACGCCGAAGCGAAACTTGTTCAACCGGCCACATTCCCTTCGCGTAAGAGCTGAGCAGCTTGCAAAACGAATGCTCGGCGGTCAAGTGAAAATGTCATGTTCAACCATACCTTCAACATTGTACTTGCGGGGAACCTTTGAAGCGAATGGGCGTGGCATTATGGAAAGCATCGTATTTCGAAAACTGGGGAGCCGTCCATGCGCGCATGTGCTGCATGCTGGAGAGCCGTGTGCGGTGAGTAGATACCAAATGAAATCCAAAGCCTGCCAGGCCGATACGAATGGTGGCGGAACGCAGAGGGGTCGTTTGTGAGCAGCACGGGTGGAAGAGGAGCTGAACGATTGCAATCTGAACAGACCCCGTATACTCGGCGGCTGCTGCTACTACGAATTTTGTGGCCAGACCGCAGCCACGGCGACGGCGACGGCGAGAGTGGAGACCCCGGCGGCGAAGACGGAAAGGACGACGACGACAGCGCCCGCGAAGGCGATGACGACGCTGGCGACGCCGACGGCGACGGCGAAGATGGCGATACGGCTGGCGAAGGCGGCGAGGGCGAGGGCGACGTCCGTGACGACGGCAACGTCCACAGCGGGCGACGACGGCGAAGTCCACAGCGGTGACGGGGCGGCGACAGCGAGGGCGATGGCAGCAATGGGGAGAGTGGCGGCAGCGACGACAAGGGCAACCACGGCCGCGAAAGATGGAGACGTCGACGTCACATCCTGTTTGCTGCTCGATCTACGGGGAAGCTCGCGCTGAATCAAAATGAGCTGGAGAGCACTCCGTGCGATGGTTGAACGCTCGCCCCCGATTGACACGCACTGCTGGAACGCAAACTTGTTTTCGGCATGGGTTGCTGGAGCGCCGTCGTTCGATGGACATAGGCATGGGTTTGGGGCATGGGCTGCTAAATCGACACCCCGCTGGGATAAACAAAAAGATGAGGGAAGGGAAGGCGGGGCTTGGCGAGACGGGGAGTGCTGGATTCGTGGGTACGCCTCGTTCTCAAAACGGCTACGCTCGCGACCAGGATCAGCGCATGCAGATCGCCGCAGACATACTGCGGCGCGTGCACTATTTGATCGGTGGCGACTTGGATCAAGGCTGCTACCCTATGAACTGGGCACAAAAGCGGCAATGCGATACGTACACAATGCGCCTCAGCTGTCCGCCAACAAGGCAACTGGATTGACTGTAAGCGGATGACGGAGAACCAGGATCCGACCCCGCGAGGATCAGTCGGCCACGCGCAATAATGACCACAAGGGAAAACTGACCTCT